AGCGCCTTCCCTCTTACACCCTGCATCTAACAGGGTGCCCTTGGCCCCGCCTGGCTCCTCTAGCTTTCCTCTTCCTGTCTCTGTGGATTATGACAGACCAGGAAGCAGAAGCTGTGGCCCTGATCGGCCTCACAGCTTGCTGGAAGGGACCCCAGCTGACAGGTTGCAGACACCCAGATGTGCAAACTTAGGTTTGAACCCCACTGTCTCTATCCCTGGGGTTACAACTGCGCTGGGTTATAATCCAGCCTCAGCACTCTGTTCCCACACAGCTGCACTTGCAAAGTGGCTGTGGGAGCTGGAGATGGTGGGATACAGCTGTTGGTACGGTGCCCCGCCGACCCGGTTAGGCCAAGCCCTCGTCATTTCCTTCTCTACTTGGGCAGTTATCTCTCTGGTCTTTCCGCCTGTCGGTGTCTCCCCACGGAGTCCAGAGTCTCTCATGCCCACTTGCTGGACAAACACTCTTGGGGGGGGGGCCTCTGCTCACTGTCTTGCGTTTCAGGGGGGACCTCATGCTCTTCTTTTGGAGTAGATTCTCCACCAGTCCGCATGCCTTGTGTGCCTGAGACACAGAGTCACTCACCCAGTGAGCTCTACACAGGCTTCAATGCTCAGTTGTAAATTCTTCTCCCTGCTAAACCCCAGATGTTGCCCAGTCCTCTGCGTTCCTGGAACACCGGAGGCATCCCTGTATTATAACCTGGTTTCACCCTGTGTGTTCAGCAGGTAACCCCATGGGTGCTGAGGGTCCATCTGAGTCGCTTTGTCTCCTTGGGGCCAGACACGTGCTCCATACCCTTTGTCTGTCTTTGCGGTTGCATGTGTGACATTGGGTAGCTTTTGGGAAAGGCTAAGGGTGAGGGAGTGGGGAGGAATTTCCAGTGCCATCCCTTTCCCCTTCGGGTCACTCTGAAGTGGTGGCAGACGCCTGGCCTCTGAAGAGGTGCAGTTCACGGAGAACACAACCCAGCTCCCTCACAAGGTCCTTCCACTTCGCTTGTCCACCAGAGCTAAGAGCGAGGCTGGACCCGTGTGCTCATAGCATCCCCCGTTTGCACCGACTCCTGCTGCCTCCCTATCTCAGCAGATAGGAAGCTTGTGAGTAGCTGTTCAAAACACAACAGACCCCCCCACCCTCAGATTAAGGCCTGGCATTTTGGGGATCTGATTCTGTCTTTTCAAGCTCTCTGGGGCCAGCATACATCAACCCCGATTAAGTACTTGTTAGCTTTATAGCAGACCAGGTTTGCTTGCCAGTGTCCTAGGTTATGAAGCTGGCTTAGAGGCATCCCTCTCTCATCCTGTGTCACGTAAGAAGTGTCATTTTTCTGCCTCCCCCCACACCCATTTAATGCCATTCTAGCTATTGCTGGAGATGTTCCACCTCGGTCCATCTGCCTGGGTCATGCTACATTTCATCTTGTGTGAGAACACTGTGACTCCCAATCTTAGTAAGCTTAGGCTCCAGCAGAGAGGCCCCATTGGCTCTGATGGTAGAGCTTCATCTGGTGATGGGGCTGTGGGGGGGTTTGCAGGGGGCTGCCCTTCCTACTGGCCTAGGAAGGAGGCTGCGAGGATGCTGGCCTAGGAAGGAGGCTGCCAGGATGCTGGTCTAGGAAGGAGGCTGCCAGGATGCTGGCCTAGGAAGGAGGCTGCCAGGATGCTGGCCTAGGAAGGAGGCTGCCAGGATGCTGGCCTAGGAAGGGGGATGCCAGGATGCTGGCCTAGGAAGGGGGCTGCCAGGATGCTGGGTTCATCCTCTAGTGATGTTCCCCATCCCTTGTGGTAATGGTTTCCTCTCTGTCTAATCAGAAAGCTCATGCCCCAGTGTCTCGGGTAGATATTTGACTACCTGGAAACTCCCATCTTGTCTGCTGTGTCTTCTGCCATGCTCAGTGCATTCTGCCTGCCCTCTCTCTCTCTCTCTGTTACTTATAACCTGCCTGATGTAGCTGTGGGTCTGATCAGCAATGCCAGGAAGACAGGGGAGTCAGGGGCAGAGGTAAAGAGGCACAGGCTTCCAGCAACCATTCACTAGCTCCAGATGCTATTAAAGTGTGGCCCAAGCTAGCCCTGGTTTATACGAGCCTATGCAATCCCAACTAGTACTCCAGAAGCTAAGTTAGGAGGATTTCAAGTCTAAAACAGCCTGGGCAATGCAGTGAGTTCAAGGCCAGCCAGGGCAATTTAGTGAGACTCTGTCTCAAAAAGTAAAAAGAGGCATGGATAGAGTTCAGTTGGAAAGCTGACTACTATGTGTGAAGCTCTAGGTTCAATTATTATATTTAAAAATTGATGATGGTGATGGTGGTGATGGTGATGGTGGTGGTGATGATGGTGGTGATGGTGGTGGTGATGATGGTGGTGATGGTGGTGGTGATGGTGGTCGTGATGGTGGTCGTGATGGTGGTAATGGTGATGGTGGTGATGGTGATGGTGGGTGGGTGGTGGTGGTGATAAAATGGTCCATGAAGACAGAGAGCTCAGGCTGGACACAAGGGAAAGCCAGCACCAACAAGGGCCCCCAGTGCTGAGTAAGCTGCTGGAGTCCAAGCTTTAGGACAGCAGAACATTCAGTTGAACTTTATAAGTTGGCTTCAGTCAGACCAATTGAGAGAAGAATTACAAATTAGAAAAGACAAAGGGGACTTAGCTCAGTGGGACAGTGCTGGTCCAGCATATGTGAGACCTGGGTCTCGGGTGGGTAAGTCTTCATGTGTGTGTCTGCACATGTGTGCATGTAAAAACAAATCAGAAAGCTAGAGCAGAACCCTGAAAACCAGCCTGCCTCTTTCAGTGTGCTAGTGGGGTGGGATGTGCCAGGCACTGGGTTTTCAGTGGCTTCTCTTCAGCTCTGGCCCGGGTCAGGAATGGACTTTTCTTGCATTCTGGCCGTGGAGTGCTTTGTGCACACAGGAATGAGTGAATCTGTTTTCACTTCATCCTCTCATTTAGTCAGTAGCTGCTGGACGTCTCGTGGGTACTCTGGCGATGTAAGCTAAAGGCAGAGCCCTTTGCTGGGGGGGCGTATGTGCACACTGCCACAGGCAGCTACAGTATGGCCCAGACAGCGTTACAAGAGGGTGTTGTGCGTGTCTGGCTGGCTGTGATAAACTACCAAGCTCGGTGACTCATAGCAACACAAAGTCATTAACTTAGAGTTCTAGAATAAGAAAGCGTCCTCTGGCTCCCAGAGATGATCTGTCCCTCACCTTTTTGTTCTCACAGTGTTCCCCGCACTCTTTGGCTGATGGCCTCTTCTAGCCTCAGAGCCAGTATTGTGCCAGCTTCACTCCTTTCTGGCTCCTGCCCTGACTCCTGTCTTCTCTCTTTGACTTTCATTCTCGTTATCTCCTGGATAACCCAGGAGCATCCCCTCCCTCCAGTCACATCCCCGTGAAGTCCCTTTTGCTGTGAAAAGCCGGTGTCTTCCCAGAGGCTGAAGCTGGTGGCATGGGGTTATTTTCCCAAGGAGCTTTGCTGTTTTAGAGGCTAGCCAGTGTGCTTCTGGAGGGATGCTTGGAGAGAAAGGGTGGATACAAGAGGCACTTCCTATAATTGGCATGGCGAGATGTAGGCTTGGCCATAGAGTGGGACAGCAAATGTGGTAGATGGCGCTGTAAGAGTCTGGAGAGAGGCGAACCAGGGAAAGCTCTTTGTCAATAGTTGTCCGTGAACAGGTTTGTATTTTAGAAAGCTGTGAATCCAAACCATGATCGGCCTTGGAGTGATGGCATTTCAGTGATGGGACAACCTTGTTTTTTAGTTGAAAAAGTTTTCATGGTAATTTCCCTTCATCTCCTCCTGGGTCCTCCCACCTCCCCACACATCCAGCTCCATGCCTGCCTTCTCTACAAAAAACAAAACCAGAATAAAAAACAAACAAATAAATAAATGAAAAGCACAAGAACAGCCCCCCCACACACACACCACACACAAACAAAACCCATAAAGACACAAAGTCAAAACTGGAAACCATAATACACAAGTAAGAGACCTGTAAGATTAAGAATGCCTAAACGGCAATATGAGACCAAAAAAAACCAAAAAATAAAAACCAGCCATCCACAGAAACACCACTGAGCTTGTTTTCAGTTGACCGTCTACCACTGAGCATGGGCCCTGCCTCTAAGTGTGGTTACTATACCCCGTGAGACTCTCTTATAGAAAACTGACTTCCTTTGTGAGCTGTTGTCAATTGGAGGCAGCTTCTTGGTTAGGAATGGGAGCCCCTGTTCACTCCCTGACTCAGCACGGGGACTCTGGCTTAGACCTGTGCAGGTCCTGTGAGTGCTGGCAGTCTGAGTTCGTGTGTGCATCCGTCCTGTTGTGTGCGGAAGACACTGCTTCCTTGGATGCTTCCTTGGACTCATCCATCCCCTCTGGCTCCTCCTCCTCCTCAGCATCCCGTCTAGGGCTACACACTCCAAAGCCTCGCACTCTCTGCACACTGCCCAATTGTGGGTCTCTGTGTTACTTCTCGTCCACTACAGAAGAAACCTCTCTGAGGATGGCTGAGTGAGAGGCACTGATCTATGAGTTCTGAGGAATATCGTCAGACATCATTTTATTACTGTGTTCCTTTAGCAGGACAATGGTATTTGGTTTGATGGATGGACTTTTAAAAAGAAAAGTGTTTATCTAACTGACTTGAGAAGGTCAAGTTGCAAGACCAGTGTCCAGCAAGGCCTTTGGAAGGTGTTTCTTTCTCCTTTTAACTGTGAAATTGGGCATTGGTAACGGAGGGGAGCCCTCTGAATACTGGGCCAGCCAGGCCACCATCTCTTCTCCAGCAAGTGGCAGGCTTGTGGCTCTCTTTGAGGGTATCTGTCTCTAATTAAAGGTCCCGTTTTCTCCCACCAAGTGCCCTTCCCAAGCCAGTATTTCTGCCGAACCTCACAGGAGCCCCTTCCTGCTGGGACCACAGGTCCTTGGTGGGTGTTGCCGGGTGGCCAGAGAAACAGTCACTGAACACATTCTCCGGTGTTTGTCTCTAGCCCTGGAACAGCTGCTGACAGAGCTCGATGACTTCCTCAAGGTTCTAGACCAGGAGAACCTGAGCAGCTCAGCTGTGGTGAGGAAGAGCGGCTTGGCAGAGCTCCTGCGGCTTTACACCAAGAGTGGCAGTAAGTATAGGCCTGCAACCCCGTGTCCCCACAGAGCACTTGCCTGCTCAGGCTGTCGTAGCTCAGTGTCGTGGGGCCTTTCATAACGCACCTTTATTTCCTCACACCGTTGGAGACCAGCTCCTGAGAGCACGGAGTCAGCAGGCGGGCTCTCCCTTCAGACTTTCTCCAGGGTGGGTCCTCACACAGCCACCGCTGTGTGTCTCCTGATCTCATCTTGTGAGGACTCCGTCCACATAGACTAGGATTACGCTGAGACCTCAGTTTTAGGCTCTCTTCCCAAGTAAAAGTTCTGAAAACCTAGAGATGAGGGTTCAATGTGTGAAGGGGCACAGTTGAGCTCATAAGAGTGGTACGAGGTAACCTGACTTGTCTGGGAACCCTCTCCACACTCCACACATCAGCTGGTGAATGGGGTTGTAAGCGGACTGTGTTCCAAGCCCCCTCCCTACTGCCTGAAAGAGAGGAACAGGGTGTTGTTAAGAATGCCCATGGCTTCCTTGGGTAGCAGGAAGTTGTTGCAAATGCCTAGGGTTTGTGTTCTGCCTAAGGAGGCTGCATTTGTATGAAATGAGCTCATTTCTTCAACACAACTCCATGGGTTGATGCTACTCCTGCACAGGGAACTCAGACTGTGGCATCTAAATACCTCGACTAGTATTGTGTAGCCTGAGGGGAGAAGAAGATATGGCTCTAAAACTGTAAATTGCAGAACCATGAATCCATAATTGTTCCACCATTTTGTGTGTGGGGGGGTTAGAATTCACATACAATAGAGTGTACGGACTTTAAATATGCAATAACTGTATACACCGGATGACCCCCCTATCTAAAACTAAACAGGATACCCCTATCATCCAGAAAATTCTCCCTTCTGGGCTGGGAAGATGGCTCAGTCAGTAACATTCTTGCAGCACAAGCTTAGAAAGACCTGAGTTTGATCCCCACCCCCACCCCCACCCCCCAAAGCCAGACGTTACAGCATGCACCTGTATTCCCATGGGGAGGTGGAAAGGGACAGAGCTCCACTGGATGCTGGCCAAGGAAAGCAGGTGGAGAAGCCCTTAAGAAAGATTCCCAGTGTCAGCCCCTGGCCTTCACATGGCATCTGCACAGGTGAGCCCACTCGCATGCAACATACCCACACGTGTACACTGTGCCTGGATAAACAAGAGGACTCACACACAAACAGGTGGATAGTTGCAACGAAAGGCAAAGAGAAATCAAGGACCAACATTTCTAGTTGACTTCTGACCCCCACAAGCATATGCACATACGGTTGTTTTTCTTAAATTCAACCTTGCTCCATTTTCTCTCCTTCCCATCTCTACTGCAAGGCAGACATTCCCCAGTTTCTGTCGCCTTGAGAAGGCACCTGCTCTGGAATTGTGTGTCGATGCCATCATACTGTGTCTACTGTGGCTTCCTTTGGAGACCCACGGGAGCTGTGGGTACACCTGTAGTTTGTTCTTCCTCTGTGGAGTATTTAACCCATGGCTCCCTTGGGAGGCTCATTGGGGCTGTGTGTGATTTGCATATTCTTACTTAGTTGTTGATGTCTGTATGGGGGCGTTCACAGTTTTCAGCTGTGAAACTTAACGACTGCCATGATCACTCCTATATAATTCTTTTGGGCAGATGGTTTCATTTCTAGCAAATTCAGAACTGCTTTTAGAAGAAAAGTTTGATGAAATTTTGACAGCTGAGTGCAGGTGACTTTTATGCCAGGTGTTTGTGACTAGGAGTTCTGTGTGGGGACAGTAGGGACCATCAGGGGGTGTCAAGTCCATCTGCCTCCCAGCAGGAGTGGCCACCATCCCTGGCAGGAAGGGAAGTGTTCACCTGCTACAGCTGTCACAGTCCTGAATGTCCCCTCAATCTAGCCTGAATACTGCAGGCTGCTCTTTGGGGCTCCCTTCCGCCATTTCCTTCTGCAGGAACCATCCTGGCTCCCCACTCTCCATCATTAAGTGCTTGCCTTTCCCCTCTCGAGGTCACTGCACAGTTCCCAGGCTCCTAGCTTTGTAGCAGCATCTGACAGGCTGCACATCAAACAAGTGCTGGTGGGAAACAGAGGGGAATCCACACAACAAAGAGGGAAGGTTCGAGAGGGATGAGTCACCTCACAGAGGACTCATTGATAGAACTCTTCAAACAGCAGGATCCTGGGCCTTTAAAGATGTAACATTGTAACACTGGCATAAAGATGTAACATTGCAATAAAAAGTTGTAACAGTGTCATAAAGACGTAACATTGTTATAGAAGTTGTAACATTGTCATTACAAAGCCGTAAGTTTGTAACATCATTACAAAGACTGCCTCTGTGAAGAACAGTGTACCACAATGCCTTAGGTTCCTGATCCCTTAGGGCTTAGCCTGCTGCACCGTGGTCTTTATCTCTCTGGCTTTCTCTACTCTTGGTCTCTGCAACAGATGGATGGTGGAAGTTACGGGGATCTGATCAAGCATCTCTAATGTGAATAACTCCAGAGATTCCCCAAATCCACAGATGGATGTGTTCAACCATAGTGAGGCTTGTGGTCACTGCTTAGAATTCTCAGGGGTGGCACCCACATAAATCAGTTGCTACTACACACATTTGAGAACTTTGCCTCCTGGCCGTCTTTGCTCTGTTCAGACAACAGGGAATTAATATAGATGGTATCAGTGGTGTTTAGGACAGTGTGTAATGTGTACACTGACTCAGATTATGTCACTTAACCCTTACGTCATATCTGTGAGGGAGTTGGTGTTGTGGCATTTACCGTCACTTGCCCAGAGGCCTCCAGGTGTGAGTGGTGGAAGAAGAGAGCAGGCAGACCTCACCATTGTGTTCTCTCTCCAGTCTGTCACCTGGATTAAATGTGCCACCCTAGACTGAATCCTAACACATTCCCACCATTACAACATTTGTTTCCCCTTGACCCTCCCTCACCACCCCCCACCCCCCCCCCCGCCTTACTGTGTATCTCCACAGACTCAGCTCACTCTGTGAGGGGAGACGCTGCTCGCTCGAAGAAAGATTGTGGTCTTCACATGTGGGGTGGAGTATGAGAGGGGGTGGGGATGGGGAATGCACTCCTATGTGTCCATGTCCATGGAGTGCACGTGTGTGTGTGTGTGTGTGTGTGTGTGTGTGTGTGTGTGTGAGAGAGAGAGAGAGAGAGAGAGAGAGAGAGAGAGAGAGCAAGCAAGCAAGCAAGCGCGCACGCCTGCACACCTGTGGGTGCTTTCCTAATTTTCAAATGGGATCATCTACCTGGGTCTTCTGAGCTTTTATTTTTTAGTTTGATAGGCCCTCTGTTTTTGACTGATGACAGGGCACAGATTGAATGCTCCTCTGTCAAGGACTTGGCAGCCTGTGGCATGCCATGCCTTTGTCAGCAAGAAATATGTCCCCTGCTTCCCCTGCTTAAGATTGCAGAATGTTCCAGTAGTTGCTCCTCTAACAGGAGGCACTGCCCATCCAACTGTAGCCAAGGACTCCAGCTCTCCCTCCTTCCCTCCCTTGCCCTGGTTCTTTGAGAGGTGCCACTCTCTGCAGGTGGCAGGTCCCCTTGCCTGTTATTGGTAGTATAGTGCTTTCCAACAAAACCAAAGACTTCAGACAACATTACAGCAGACAGCTTCAAGGGTTCTGCCTGTGCACTAGAGCTTATCTGTAAGACAGATTTCTAGCTGTGGAAATAGTAAAAAAAGGGATGTGTTAGTGCAAAGCTGTCCTCAAGGTCACATGATTGTCAATTTACCATCTCTGGGACTCTATTTGCTTTTGCAGAATGGTGGTGAGGCTTTCTGAATTTAACGTGCTGTGGTTTCTTTTACTGTTTCCTTATTTTGAGCCTTTAAGTTCCTCGCCTCTAATCTTTGTCATCTCTAAAGTTATTTACTTTTTCATGTAAGTTCTGTTCGGTTCACGTGCAGGGTTTCATCTTGATGGCTTTCCATCTGGGCAGAGAAGACCATCAGACTTAGGGATTAGGGTTCTTCCCAGAAGTTGCCACTCAGCAGAGCTTGGCAGAGCCCTGTCTCGCTCATCTTCCCAGCCCTAACACATCAGCAGAGGCATCTGGGCTGGCGCAGTGTTGCTTACTGGTCCTGGCATGGCTAGTCACTGAAATGACGCCACTCTGACTGATGCTGAGAACCCATCCAGCCTCCTCTTGACCCTCTGGGTTCCCAAGCTTCTTTTACAGTCCCTTGGCTGGAGTCAGCCGTTTAAGGCCATGGAAGACTGGCATTGAATTGGATCCTTGGGCAAAGGTTTACATTGAGTCTATTGGCTCAGGAATACTGTCCAACCACAAGAATTTACCAACTATGTGTTGCTAGGAAATACAAATTAAGGGCCACAGAGGACCAGCAAGAGGGTTCAAAAGAGGAAAAATGATGGAGGGCTTTCTCATCAGCCTCAGAGAGTGGGTACATAGGGGCTGAGGACCAGGCATGTGGCATGAAGCTAGTTCCCCTCTGCCAGCAGGCACCAACCAGAATGGTAGCCTGACCTACACCCCAGTAATTTAAAGGAGGGCATGGGTTGTATTCACTACAGTTTCAATCCACAGGGCAGACCAAAGGACTGGTGGGCCCCACTTCCGGTGCCTAGCTTTCTTGTCCTGATGATTTGTTCTTTCAGCTGCCCATCCTCCCCCAGCCTGTGTGGACAACCCCCTCCACCATGGACTTTGGGAGCTAAATGTCCAGTGTGGTTTACTTTAATCTAGACACTTCTGATTTTAATCTATCATGATTCATACTACCATGAGAAAGGCAGATAGGAAGTAGAGACATCTTCAGTTTGTAGAATGCGCTGTAGCTCTGTGAGGGATGAATGCCCTTTTGTTTACCCATTCTGGTCCTGAAGCTGTCCTCTGTGGCCTCCCCATCTCTATCCTGCCTCCATCCTCCACCTCCGGGGTAGAAAGCCAGGGGTTATTCCTACACTAAAAGTCTGCCACCTGTCTCTGTGACTAACTCTTTAAACAGCGTGAAACCCTAAATGCTCCCTTTTCATAATTAATTACTTATTTTCTCTTCACATGCATGGATGTTTTGTATACATGTGTATATGTACATCACATATATTCCTGGTGCCTACAGAGGCAGGAGAGGGTGTTGCAGCTTCTGGAACTGCAGTTGCAGGCAGCTGTGAGCCACCATGTGTGGGTTCTGAGGACTGAACCCTGGCCATTGTGCCAGCCCGGTGCCAAGTGCTCTCCCTGGGTCCTGAGCATGTAAAGATATTGTAAGTGGACACTGTCTCTTTCTGAAGGCGAAACAAAGCCACATCTCCTGTCTTTCCCTCTGCAGGTTCTGATGAGGAGTATATTTACATGAACAAAGTGTCAGTCAACAGGGAACAGAACTCAGCATCTCCACATGAAGGTACGAGGCCCTAAGGGCTGGGCTTCTGGGGCTGCCTGGCTTCAGGCAGAGGATCCACAAGCCTCACCCACCCTCCTCATCTCCATCCCAGTTCACAGACAGACCCAGGAGTTTATTTTTGGAATCCATATTTTGGTGAATGGTATTTTGGGTTTATATATTTTTGGTTGTTTCAAGAAGGCCACCACCTTCTTGCCGATTGGACAAGGAACATGCCCCTAAAATCTCTTGGCTTTTCCCAGAATCGTTGCGGGAAGAGGAAGTCATAATTCAGACATTCTAGAAGAGCAGCTGCGTGTGGCACTGATCCCACGGTCCCAGCCCTGCCCCTTTGGGTGAAAGTCTGCTTGGGAGGAGGCAGGGGAAATGGTGGTGTCAGCAACTGTGGTATTAAAAGATGAAGCTCACAGCATAGTCTTGGGCAGAATGCGTTCTCTCCTGCAAGGACTCGGGGCGACACCTTACCCTTCTACCTCAGAGGTTCTCTGAGAACCTCTGGCGTGTGCGGCCCAGACATTATAGAATATTCAGCATCAGGGAGGGACCACAGGAAGGTTTTCCTCCAACTCTCAAACAAAAAGACTTCAGGGGGTGGGAAGGGACTTCCCCCAGAGACCCAGTCACAACCCCATAAATGCTGGCCTCTGAGCCTCCGCCAGCCTGCACTGTCTTGTTGGGCTGGTTGAACTGGAGAGACTCGGAAGTCGGTAGCCTAACTTCTTTGGTGTGGTGTCCACGCCTGTTCCTCCCCTCCCCCCACCACAAGTCAGGGAGTGAGAAGCTCATGCAGTGCCTGTGGCCACTCTACCTTCTGGTTAAACGGCGGGAGGAAAGATCCATAATCACCAGGTCGGTGCTTTGTGTGGCTCAATATAGTGACTGCCAAGCAGCTGAGGCTCTATGTCTGGGCCATTTTTGAAAATGGGGCAGGTAGGGGAGGGTTGTCAAGCCTTCCAGAAACTCCATGCTGGCTACTTCTGAGGAGTCTGTGTAGGGCTGGCCTATTCTTAGAAGGAAAAAAACAAAAACAAAAAAAAAAATCAAAACAAAAACAGCTTTGGCTCTGGATTGCCTGCCTGGGTAATTGACACGCGCTCAAATAGGGTACACAGGACATGGACAGGTGAGCAGACACCCCTGCGTAACAGAGCCGCTGCCCCTCTCTGAAGCCTTCTCCTCTTGCTGCCCACAGCGCCCGAGCAGCAGGGTCCCCTGGCCAATGGGGAGCCCAGCCAGCACTCCTCAGCCCCACAGAAGAGCCTTCCAGATCTTCCTCCACCCAAGATGGTGAGTGTCAGGCCAGGGTACCTGGTCACCTCCCTGACTCGGGCTCTCAGAGCTTGCATTTGTCATCACTGGCGTCTGCCAGTCCTCCAAGCCACTGACACATTCTAAGTACATTCTGTGTGCAGGACACAGCCTGGGGAAGCCAGAACACAGGAAGCCTGACCAGGACACTCCAGGTGCTATGCGCAGTGTACCATGGGAGGTTTGGTCAAGTGCTTTTGTCAGATGTCACCATGTACCGAACACTGCAAGGCCATAAACTACTCTGGTCGCTAGTCCGTGAGTCTGTGACCTTCCAAAAAAGTAATTCTTATCCAGGTGTGGTGGCTCATGCCTATGATGCCAGCACTCAGGAGACTGAGGCAGGAGGATCTCCATGAGTTCAAGGCTGAACTGAGCTACAGGTTAGCAGGGCCTGAAAGTATGACTTTGTCACACATACACAGAGCAGAAAGAGGATTGGTACCACATTGCACCTCATACTTGAAATCCACCAGTGGGTCTTGTAAAGCTTGGAAACAGACTTCCTGTTCCCAGCATGGTCTCCAGCGGGACCCCTGCCCACAGTAGTGTGTGCAGCCTCTTTATATTGGCTTTCACTCACTGCCCTTCTGCCCCTGGGGTGGGTTCTGCCCCAGGGACTTGGTACTTTCTGGGTCACAGATGACAGGCACCTCCTCTTCTCTCAGAAGCTTACACTTCCCTGGCCTGGGTAGAGGAGCCACTGTATTCCTGCTCTGCCTTGGTTACATTGTGTCCAACCATGGCCCCTGTCATTACTGGCATCATCCTCTTATTATTTGTCTCCTCCATGAGAAGCTCCACAGGACAAGATTGTACCTTCCATCCACCACCTCATGCCTAGCATCTGTATCAAGTAGGCCATAAAGTAGTAGTTGCACACTGGTGTGAGTGGATGGATGGGTAGATAGGTAGGTAGGTTGATGGTGATTGGGTAGATGGGTGGGTAGGTAGGTAAATTGATGGCCATTGGGTGAATGGATGGGTAGGTAAGTTGGTGATTGGGTGAATGAATGGGAAGGTACATTGATGATGATTGGGTGGATAGGTAGGTAAATTGGTGGTGACTGGGTGGATGAATGGGTGGGTGGGTGGGTAGGTAGGTAAGTTGATGGTGATTGGGTGAATGGATGGGAAGGTAAGTTGATGGTGATTGGATGAATGGATGGGAAGGTAAGTTGATGGTGATTGGGTGAATGGATGGATGGGTAGGTAAGTTGATGGTGATTGGGTGGATGAATGGGTAGGTAAAGTTGGGTGTGGATGTAGGAGGGTGGATAAATAGATGAGTAGATGGATGAATAGATAGTTATGTGGTTGGGTGGGTGGCAGGTAGGTGGATACATATTTGGATGGATGAATGGGTGAGTGATGAGTAAAACCGTAGCTCTGACAGTCTCGTGTTCAGATTACAGTTGGTCGATACTAGCTCTTTGACCATGAGCAAGTTACTTCAAGTCTCCAGCCCTTTGTTCCTCAGTGTTTAAGTGACAGTGATACTGGCATCCGTGTGACCAGATGGTCCAGTTCACCGGGCTAAGTCTGCAAGGCATACGGCACTGTAGGTGCCACATCAAGGCAACATTTGGTGAGATGAGTCACAGTATTTACATGATAGGGGATATTAGGTTTTTATTGCTGTAATAAACACTATTATCAAAAGCGGCTCAGGGAAGTAAGGGTTAATTTCCACTCAAGTTCCAGGTCTATCACTGGGGAAACCCAAGGCAGCAACTGGAGGCATGGTCTGAAGCAAGGGTCATGGACAGTGTTGCCTACTGGCTTTCTCCCCCTAATTTGTTCAGTGTGCTTTTCCATATCATCTAGGGCCATCTGCCCAGGGGTGGCACCACCCACAATGGCCTGGGCCCTCCCACATCAATCACTAATTAGGAAAATGCCCCACATGCACGACTGTCTATAAGCCAATCTTATCAATGCATTCTCTCAATTGTGTTCCCTCTTTTCAGATAACTAACTCTAGCTTGTGTCAAGTTGATTCAGTAGGGGGGGATGGGAAATCGAACCAGGAAGCGCATTGTCTCATATTCTAGAATTGCTAGAAGTGACAGTGTCAGGATTTGATCCCAGATTTCTTTCCCCCAAAAGGAGGCTTTCTAGAAAAGATCTAAGACGTCAAGGAGGTTGTTTTTAGGAAGCAGGGCCCTTGATCAGCACTCTGTGGTCACTGAGCTCTGGGCTAACCAGCCATCACCAGAAGGGTCTCAAGCCCAGGATGGCTCTGAACCAGCCTCCAATTCAGGAGTCCCTCGAGTTGGAATACACAACTCCACCACATGGGACATAAAGCAGGTTCTTCAGTATCCGAGTCAGTGTCTCAGCTTGAAGTCCCCTGAGCTGAGTGACAGCTGGTGGGACTCTTTGTGTTGGGCAGAGAGATTATTGGAGAGCCCAACGTCATCTCTAGGTGTCCCTGTGATGCTGTTGATGGCCACCTCCTGAACTTCCATCCCACTCCATGCAAATCTCTTCTCCCACTGCCCTTCAAGGGACAGATGACTCTGTCACCATCTCAGAGTGGTAAGCGTCCTGGCTCAGGGAGGCAGAGGCAGGATGTGGGCACAGGATTCTTGCTGGCTCTATAGCCATGTGATGGGCTGTGTTCCTTCCAGGACCCCCCCCCCCCATTCTCACTGCAATGCTTTGGAGGTCTGGGGGAGACACCCCTTGGAACTCTCCCATCCAGATGTGGGTAGTTCTAATTAGAGAAGAGAAACTGGTCCCACGATAAGTTTTCTGGCTCCCAGGCATCACTCACAATGACCTGCCTATTGACTAGGCAGAGTCTTCCTGGCATTAAGTATATTAGTCTGTGTTTTCCAAACACAGTGTAGAGAGCACAGGGTTTGGGCTTTGGTCGTAGCTCTAATTCACAGTGGTCCTGGAAGCCCCTAGGATCCATGCCATTCAGTGTGAAGACTTGAAAAGTCTTCATATGAGTAGACATGGTCCTCCTGAGAGATACCCCGCCCCCCCACCCCCCCGTCCCCCCCGCCCCCCCGCCCCCCCGCCCCACCCCCCACCCCCCGGTGCTATCTTAGTGTAGGGAGTCACAAGGACCACATCTGAGAGAACACTGGTGCTGGAGTTGGAGAAAATGTCACCACCCAGGAATGGCTCAGTCTGAAGGGCCTTTCTGAGGTGTGGTGATTGTCCCGTGAACAGACTCCAGCACTACAGAAAGTTCTAGCAGCATAAGCCCACCTCATGTGCAAGCCCTTCCCTCCACCAGGCGGACTTTCTTTGCCAGAAGGGTATGAAGTGTCCAAGGCGCCCACTACCACCCCACCCCCACCCCCAGTGCTTCCAGATGTGGCGTGACGAAGGATGGTCTCTGCTATCCAGGCCCTCACCTGACCACACACGCGTGTTCATGCATGTGATGTGCCCCAAGCCTTCCTGTTCATTTCACCCAAAGCAGTTCTAATATGTTCAGAGGAACAGGGTCAGGTGAGCCCAGAGTCCTTGTCACCTAGGGCTCCCAGGCAGTGACAGTTTCACTCCAGGGCCTGAACCTGGCCTTTCCTCTCCCCTCTCCTGACTCCAGAGTATCAGAGTGCTGTGGGGAAGCCTTTGCCCAAAAGCTGGGCCCACAGTGTCTCTGTCTGGACCAGGATGGTGGTCTCTATCCTGAAGTTGGGGTGCTTGTCAACTCTGAGCCCTGACTTATCTCCGGCTAGACCCTCACTCTGGTCCCCAGAGTCGGAGGAGACCAGGTCTGTCCAGCAGTGAAGGGCAGCCAGGGGTCTGGAGCAAACTTGTGGGCGTGGACTATGACTCAGACAGCTGAGGTCTTTCCAGGCTGCACAGCCAGGTGCTGTGGTCACTGCAAGAGAAACAGATGTTTGCTGGCTGCCAGCCGCATGACATTAGCACTGATCTCAAGGGAACCTCATGCTGGGAGAAGCAGCTGACACCCAAATGGCAATTCCTTGGTCAGTGTTGGAAGTGGCCTACCCACTTAACATGGCCCCAGAACTTCCCATAGTGTGTCCCCAGGGAAGGATGCATGAACGCATTGTGTCATCTGGGCCAACTTTTGTCTTCAGATCTTGTGTTTCATCTTAGGGATTGATACACAAGAGCCCTCAGCCCTTTGGCCCACTCACCAGCTACCTGCTTTGTTCAATAATGTTATCTTGCATGCTCACTTCCTTAGCATGTAAGGTCTGTGGGTGATTTGCATGCTGCAACCCTAGGACTGAGTCACTGATATAAGAGTCCCCAAGAGGAACACAAAAGTTCCCTAAAATACATGCTAGTTGGCTCTTTGGAGAACAAGCAGAAATATGGATGAGGGTTCTTCCTCATCTTTTCCGATGGATGACTATTTTAGTGTTTGAATAAATGTCTTCTGTATCCTTAGTTAATGATCACTGCCTCCCTTAGGGTTTCAATTGCTGCTGTAAAACCCTGTGACCAAAGCAAGTCGGGGAGGAAAGGGTTTATTTGACTGACACTCCAGCGGCATTGTTCATCATCTAAGGGAGTTGGGCAGACACTCAAGCAGGCAGGGCAGGGTCCCGGAGGCAGGAGCTGACACACAGGCCATGGAGGGGACTGTGGACTGACTTGCTTCCCATAGCTTGTTCAACCTGCTTTTTTATAGAACCCAGGACCACCAGCCCAGGGATGCCCACACGGGCTGGGCCCTTTCCCATCAATCACTAATTGAGACAATGCCTTGCAGCTGGATCTTAGGAAGGTATTTTCCTCAGCTGAGGCTCCCCTCCTCTGAGATAACTCTAGTTCCTGTCAAGTTGACATAAGATGACCTACCACAATTACAATCTTCACATTTTAATGGTGCTGGTACTTAACACAGGGGTCCTTTCTCCTTAGCCCTGACGCGTTAGGCTCTCTGTCCTTTGACCTCTGATAGTCTGTCTCAGGACTATGGAATGTCAGCATGGGACTTTGATGTTTTTGTTGTTTTGCAGGGGTGGGTGGGGGGTCTGGTAGAAATGTACACTCACTTACTGAACACTTAAACTGCCCAGCACAGTTTAATCCTCTGTGAATAGACTGTGCTTCTTTTTACGATACAACCTAAACAACATATACACAGTCATACAGGTAGAATGCTCACACAGTCCTACGCTGTGTCCATCACTTACAGTAGCTTTTACTCTGGGGAGAATCTGAGGAAACCTGCCTGGTACTCCACCCTGAACAAGGTGGCCTCTGCTAGCCACAGACCCCTGGTAATGAGTGCCAACGCTGTGACGGAGGTTCCCCTCTCCCAATTGTCCAGCTCTAACAAGTCCCTGACCCAGAGCCAAATTTTGGGTCCCTGGAGTGTCCCTCCGGATAGGAGCCACTTCCTCACAGGGAGGCTAGCCAATTTAAAGTGTGCAAGCTCCAAGGCTATCCAGGGAGGTAACTCTTCCCCTCAGTCCCTGAGAGGTCTCAGAGGCCGCCCCTCCTCAGGCTGCTGGCTGAGCAGATGACAGAGACAACTGACAGCAGAGACCTTGCACCTGGTGCTGCCAGCAACCCAGGGTCACCCCGAGAAGCTCCTGAGTGCATGCCTACTTCTTAAGCAAGGCCTGGCCTCAGGAGGGACATCACGTCTCAGAAGCCACCTCTGCCAGCCGACACAGCACCTGCTCTCACTAGGATATGACCTCATGACCCTGCTCCTTCCTGTGTGGTTGTGGGAGGAGAAGGGTAGGGCAGAGCCTTCCTCATGCCTGCCCTAACACCACTGGCATGGAGCGAAGCATGTGTGGACGGTAACAGGTCTTAGACCCAGGATTATGTAGGTCTGCCTCAACTGATGTCGTGTAGTCATGGGGTGGACATGCTTCTGCCCTTTCCACACAGACTGGGCTTGTAGAGGCCCCTCGACAATTACAGTTATCTCCTTCATATGTATATATATCTCTCTCTTTCTGTGCATGTGGGGAGGGTGTGTGTGGGTGTGTGAGAAGAGACAGACAGAGAGAGGGGGGGGATGCACATATAGAAGCCAGGAAAGGGTGTCAGCTTTCTCACAGCAGGAATTGTGGCATTTGCGTGACACCCAGCTTGGCATGTGGGTCCCAGGATCCCAACTCTGCTCCCCAAGAGTGTGCAGCAAGCCCTCCCAACCCCTGATCTATCCCTCCAGCCCAAGTCTCTCCCAAAACAGCCCGGCTATGACTCTTTCTTAGCGGGGAGCAAACAAGGCTTGGGGGCCACCCCATCCCCCAAGGTAGACCCTGTTCCCTGTCATCTTGCCAAGAGCCCAGCCATACTTTTTACTTCCCTCTTCCCTCATGAAAACCTAACCATGGTTGCTCCCAGTGCGTCCCATCTAAAGCTGTTGGCTTTGTCTGTTTGTGTTACAGATTCCAGAGCGGAAGCAGCTGGCCGTCCCAAAGATTGAGTCTCCCGAGGGCTACTATGAAGAGGCTGAGCCATATGACACATCCATCAACGGTATGTCCCAGGGGCTAGGGCCCAGAGGGGTCTAACTGCTATAACCCACAGGCTGATGCTGACTCATCATCTGGTGACATGCAGGCTTACCTTGGGCTCTTAAGCAGAGGCAGACCAAGTGAAATGTCATGGGGAACAGTGTTCGGTGTTCAGTCCCTGCGAAGAGTCCAGCCCACCTGCCCATGAGGAGGCGCGGGGTACCCGCAGGAGCAGTTTCCTGTATCTGTGGGGTTCCAGATCCTACCTGGCTGTTTCCTGAGCACAGAGCGGTAGCGTAGGAGAGATGTGCTGGCCGAGGGGCCTGTGGCCCTGGGCGGTAATAGATGCGGACTTCAGGCCACGGCTGAGGGAAGCGTTCATGATCTTCTGGATTCAGTTGGTATGCTGTCACTAGCAGGGCAAGAAAACACATTCAAGGGAGAGGACACATACCACAAGTCCATCAGACGGTGTTTGATGGTGGCTATTACGGCAGAAAACAGGACAGTGGCTGTGTTTGCTGCAGGAAAGCAATTAGTGTGGTCCCAGGCATGTGTTTGAAGCCGTGGGGAATACATCAAGCAGGTAACTGCAGAGAGAGAATTTGGGACAGAGAGCAGGGCCTTTTAGTCAGAGAATGCCTTGGTGTGCTTATTAAGTGAGGAGGCAGATGTGGCGGGGGGGGGGGCGGTGAGGGACATACAAAGGGGCTGCAGGCCGTGGTGGGAACTTCGGTTGTCCCTGGAATGGGACTACAAGTCTCTCTTTGCAGGTGGGTTCATGACTGGCCTAGCTGAGGTTTCGGACACTTTGCAAACGGGCTGTGCACGCTGGCCTGGGTGCTAGGATGCCACTCTTCCTGGCCAGGCCCTCAGCCTGCAGTTGTCCTTTATCACCAGAGATACCTGAGAGAATTAACCTAAAACGGAAAGGGGGTTGTTTAGGGCCACAGTTTTGGAGGCTCTATTTCAAGATTGCGCAGGCGCATTGCTCAAGGCTGCTTTCAGACCTGTCGGACAACTGCGGTGGGGATATGTTCAACTTGCTAACCTCAAAACGAGCAAGCAAAACAGGGTAGGGAGGGTGGGCTCCTGTGACTCCTTTGAGGACACCCCAATACCTAGGACCTCTCACAAGGCATCTACTCCTTTATTTGAGCTTTCTTTTTAAGAAAATAATTAATTTTAAATGTATGAGTGTTTTACACACACACACACACACACACACACACACGTTTGTGCGTAGTGCTCAAGGAGGCCAGAAGAGGGTATCAGATCTCTGGATTTTGAATCACAGTAGTTGTGAGGAGCCACGTGGGGGATTAGACCCAACCCTGGGCCCCTGTAAACACCAGTGTGCTAACTGCTGAGCCACCTGTCCAGCCCCAACGACTCTTAATGTCCAGAGTACCTCTCAGAACCACCACACTGGGGACAGATCTTTGACAAGTGGCCTCTAGGGGTAGCAACACCAAGATTAGCCTCTTCTCAAGTCCTCCTTACTCCTTCCTTTGTGAAGTTTTTTGGTCTTAACAGCACTTCGCAAAGGTCAAAGGTGAGCATGGGTGCCAGGCAGCGGGAATGAACCCAGGCAAAGCAGGGCCTTGTCCATTTCTTCAACAACAGTAGGGTGAGATGGGACCTGGAATTGACACTGAACTTTTTTCTTCTCGTTTGCCTGTGGCCCCCAGTCCCAGGAACTAACTGTGTGGGAGGCGAGGGCTTGTTGGGACTGAGCTTCTTATAAGTGGTTGGCATTGCGGGTACATGAGCTTCACTGCAGCCCACTGAGCTAATGAGGTGCTGGCGTGTCACAGCCAGGCTGTGATTTCAGACCCAAGCCAACCCAGGGCGTGGTGATGCAGTCTGGCTGCATCCTGAAGGTAGAAACCGTGACTCACCCAGTGAGCTCCACCGTGTACACTGAGACCATCTCCTCTCTCGGGTGTGGCCTCTGCCAGCCCGAACCTGTCTCCTAAACACACGGGGGCAGATGCTTCACCTGACACAAACACAAACAAGTGGTCCGAGACACCCAGCCTGTCTCAGGCGCGTGCATCCCTGCTGGCGACCACCTGAGCTCGAACTTCTCACAGTGTCTGTCTGAACTCACCAAGTGCAGTGTGGGCCGGTGACACAGGTGTTTGGAAGACTGTCCATCTCTCCTACCATCACAATTTGGGGAGTTGGACGTCCTTGTGACGGAGAACTTTACCTGTGTGGCAAGCCAGACAGCCCTCACTTCCTGCCTGCTGTCCCCACATCTTGAGCAGGGTCACAAGAGGAAAGAGAAGCAAGCTCAGGTGTCCCCCAGCTGCTGGGGCTCCTGTCCTATTCATCTCCCATGGCCCAGTGCTGCTCCGCTAAGCCAGGGTCCGCTCTCTGAGCCGGTGCTGACTGAGTGCTCCGAGGGCTTGTGCTTAAGTCACCAAGGTCCCTCTCTGCCCAAGATGGGGGGTCTTCATCCTGATACGTCATGCTGGGGAAATACCAGGAGCTGTAACTGAAAACTCCCTGGTGTGGGTGTCTCTTCTGAGCGGTGTGGCATTTCTGATCCTGGGTAAGTTGGGTGCTCAGGTGTGGCTCATGTTTGGCGCAGCCACCCTCCAGGACCAGAACCTCTTCTGTAAAGTGTGAGTGGAAAATGACTATCTGTTTCTTAAAAGCACTACCCAGAAATAATGGCACATGTCACCCTGGCCACATGCCACTGGTGGGGAGTAGTGATCCCTGGTGATGTGAGCGGAGCTGGGGAGTGACACCCTTAGCCTTTCCTGATGAGTCCACACCTCAGAGAGCACAGCAGTGAGTAGCCTCTAGAGCAGTGGTTCTCAGCCTTCCTAGTGCTGTGACCCTTTAATACAATTCTCTATGTTGTGGTGACCCCAACCATAAAATGATTTTCATTGCTGCTTTTTAACTGCAGCTTTGCTACTGCTATGAATCATAATGTAAGTATCTGATATGCAGGTGGTCTCAGGCAATGCCATAAAAGGGACGTTCAACCTCCAGAAGAGGTAGGCAGACATCTGCCACATCTGGGTCTCCGTGCTTGACTGTGCCTCTGTCTTTATCCTCTCCCCCTCCCTCTCTCCCTATCTTCTCTGTCTGTGCTGTTGAACGTCAATCATGCAGGCCACTATGGAGCATATCTCCCCAATGGAGTCACCAGATTGGCACAGTTGCCTGAAGGAGTCATTTATGCCACGATCACCTTGGGTACTGCCTGTCCCCAGAGTTGGAGTGCCGATGTTTTATTGCTTGTTATCTGCTCTGAAATGAGTGCATGCCATGGGAAGCCACTGCCTTCTTCCTGTCCCCATGACCAGGTCCTGCATGTTCATAGTCATACATGTTTCCTGCCCAACAAGTGTGTTGTTACTCTGCCTTCCATAAAGCCTTGCCTGTGGGATACTCTGATGCTAAGAGATTCACAAATATATATGTGTGTGTGTGTGTGTGTGTGTGTGTGTGTGTGTGTGCGCGCGCGTGTGCGCGTGTGTGTATGTATGTGTGTACATGTATATATACATATGTATGTAAATATATATGTAAAGACATATATATATGCATGTATATGTCTGCTAAGGGGTGCTGTGGGGAAACAGATGCACAGATAAATACAGGACAAGGAATAACCAGCTGCAAAGTCCTTCTCTTCTGCCCAAGGGAGCTGAGAACCAGCTCCACGCTGCTCCATAACACCTGATCCAGTCTTCACATCCCAAGACAGCGTAAGACCTCTGTCCCTCTCCTTTTAAGGGGTCACATGCACAGACAAGAAGCCACACCCTAAAGCAGTACTCCAAAGCTATTGCTGGAATGAATTCCCACAACACTTCGCCTTTTTTTTCTTAATAAGAAAGCTCTAATACTAGCGTAAAAGTATTTACAATAAGAACAACTATTAAGTTTTGTACAGAAGAAAAACAAATATAATAATAAAATAATAAACAAAAATGAACAACCAACAAGAACAACATCAAGTAAAAACCAGATACTAAATGACCAGGCCATGAGTAACTGGCAAATTACAGAGACTATTCCAATAGCTGTCCTATCCTGGACAGTCTAAGTCTTGTACCTAATACATCCTAGCTAAGATATAAGAAGACAGTAACTGTAACTATGTAATCTTCAGTCCCATCAAAGACCCAAGAAGGAAAATAATATTACCCTGAGTAAGGAGGACGTCTAAGCACGTGACTTCCAAAAGATATAAACAGCAGAGACAGCTGGCTACCTGGACAGTCACCCAATGTTGTCTGTATTGCTGGGGTGTCCAACTTTGGCTCTAGGCCTAGAATACCTGATAGACCAGTTTTAGAAGCGGGAAAATCTGAAAGACTGTCCTACCCTGCCTTGGCAAGGTTCAGAAGTCTCTTTTCCTTGTGTCCTGCTTGTCCAGATTGGACAGTTTGCTTACTGTCAGCAGTCAAGGCAAGGGCAGTTCTTTGCCCAATAGGCCAGTTTTTCCAAGAATAAAACAAGTTCCATATAGAGTTTCTTTGATGCCCATCATCTTCACTGAAGTAGACTGGTGTTGCCAGGAAAGCAGACGTGTCTATGTTCTTAAAACATTTTAGATGCCATATTCTTTAGGTCTTTGAAGTGTTTAAAGATTACCTCTCCATCTGAAATATATTTCTGTATATCTAGAAAACCTAACTAACATGCCTATAAGTTTGACTATTATAGGTGACTATGAATTTGTATTTCTTACCCATATGTTATATTTTCAAATAAGCTGCATAAGCATAATACCTTAAACGAGAATAGAAATATACATATAGAATAACAATTAACCTTAAATTTGTATCAGTAAACAAAAATCCATACCAATGTATTAATTTCTTTATCATATCACTTTTTTTTATCCTTTAGAAAGAGAGTGACTGTGACCACTAACCATCTACAATCTACTCCCTTTAAATGAAAACTAACATTTATTTGGGAATTTGTGTGTAGTTTTTTTTAATACTACTTCCTGTTGATTGGAGTCACTGGCAATCTTATAAGGATCCTGAGAAAATTTAGAACTATGGTTAAATATGGGCTGTATCGGTCTCAGTCAGTTGCCTTGAAGCTATTTTGAATGTTGGATCACCTTTACCATCGCTCTCATAGGAGACAGCTTAGGGTACCTTACTTGATCAATACGTTTTAGCCTGAAAGGAATTCACAGCTTCTCATCCTCTGTGGTGGCAAAAGCAACATATCCTTAGACCTAAATTTTGAAGTCAAGATACCTTTAAAAAAAAAAAAAAAAATATATATATATATATATATATATGTATGTATGTATATATATATATCTAAGCAGCCCCCACAATCAAATTTCTCTCTGTAATTAGCTCATTAACATAAAAAACACAATAGTATACATAATCCAGATTCCCTGTGTATTTTCCATCTTTACGTGCCCATTATAAATTTTTGTTACTCTATTTGTCCTTTAAAGACCTCCGTTTATTTAAATTATTCTTTTTATCTGTGTCTCTACCTGTCTTATGCCCCTTCTCTCTCCCAAGTCCATGCACATTTGTCAAATATACTGTGACCCATTTAGAGGCCTTTTTTATCTGAATATGTTTTTATTGTGTATCTATAATCCTTTTCTGACCAGGAGAGTTTTTACAATGTTAAGAGGGTGTGGCTAGGACCAAAGTGGTGGCTTTAGCTGCTGGTTCTACCCCGTTCAGCTTTTCCAACATGGTGGAGGTAGCAACAAGCTTTATGCCCCCCACAACACACACCCACCCAATGCCGCCATCAGGTAGTGTGCAGCCGGCCCACAAACTTTTTTTGTCTGTATGAGAAAAAGCTAAAGCTGTCAAGTAACTTGCAGCATACTGTTCACAAACCCTACTCCTGAAGGAGCATGGACCAGGAAGCGTTCAAGGATCTGAGCATCTGCTTGCTGCCAGCAGACAGAGCCTATCTGAAGCTGCACTTTTTTTTTTTTTTAAGCTTTCTCTGGCTTTATGTAGATATATGTGCTCTGAGTTGGCACCATATGTAAATGGAGGTTTCTGTCTTGTCTGCCAGTTTCCAAAAAAAAAAAAAGAAAAGAAAAGAAAGAAAGAAACCTCTCAGAGGCTTAATAATTGTGTAGCCAATTGCTCAGACATATTACTGACTAGCTCTCACAGTTAAATTAACCCATTATTACTAATTATTACTGGCTTACCAGTAATTTTCTGGCATCTTACCCCTTTGGCAACTACATGTATCTCCCTGACTCCAACTTTTTTCTCTCCATATCTCTGTTTGGATTTCCCATCTGGATCTATTCTGCCTGGCCATTGGCCAAATCAGCTTTATTTATCAACCAATAAGAGCAACACATATTCATAGCATACAGAAGGACCTCCCACAGCATCTCCCCTTTTCTGTCTCATTGAAAAGGAAGGTTTCAACTTTAACATAATAAAATTGTTTATTAAAAAGTGGACTCCACTTGTTATGAGATTCACAAATTAAGGGATACTACGGGGAAACAGAGTCATGGATACAGGACAAGGTATAACCAATTACAAAGTCCTTCTGTTCTGCCCAAGGGAGCTGGGTACTGACCACATGCTTCTTCATCCTGCCTGACGCTGTCTCCACAACCCAAGAGAGCACCAGACCTCTGTTTCTGTCCTTTTAAGCAATCGTGGTCTGCAGACAAGAAGCCACACCCTCAAGCCGGTACACCAAAGCTATTGGCGTAATCAATTCCCACAATACTCTACCTTCTGTTAGCCCTGCCCTATGTGGGACATTCTGCCTTCTGTAAAACTGTACCTGTGGAGCCAGGAAATATAGATACAAGCCTTGTAGCATGCAAGGTGACCAGCTCTTGGCTCCCAAAGACTCTCACAGAACAGAGAGATACATCCTGGTCAGGATTATCTGCAATGCAGGGATCTGTTTTAAGAACATTGTCCTTCCTAGGGACAAACACAATAGTAACACATTTGCCCTCACAATTCCCAAGCTATTCTTGATACTGGGATTAGCTGTTTGTCTCAGCTAGTTTCGGGGACCCTCACACCATCGGAACTCCCCACAAAGCATGCAGGCCCATCTCCAAAGCATTCACAGGGTGCTGGGGACAGGGACAGGGCCAGGGCATTCACACCTGGCTTTGCAACCTTTCTTGACTGGTTCTTCTTCTGGAAGGAAGAACCATGGTGATGTAGGCCATTATTCTCATTTCCCCTTTTACAGGTGCTCTACTGCTGACAACCCCGGAAACTTAGCCTAAGCAACCCGGAAACTTAGCCTAAGCAACCCGGAAACTTAGCCTAAGCACCCCAGAAACTTAGCCTAAGCAACCCAGAAACTTAGCCTAAGCACCCCAGAAACTTAGCCTAAGCACCCTGGAAACTTAGCCTAAGCACCCTGGAAACTTAGCCTAAGCACCCCGGAAACTTAGCCTAAGCAACCCAGAAACTTAGCCTAAGCACCCCGGAAACTTAGCCTAAGCACCCCGGAAACTTAGCCTAAGTACCCTGGAAACTTAGCCTAAGCACCCTGGAAACTTAGCCTAAGCAACCCAGAAACTTAGCCTAAGCAACCCAGAAACTTAGCCTAAGCACCCTGACCCCACCATCTCCCTCTCGCATCAACCCCCTTGAGTTCTCTGGTCCTTGCCTTCTATCTACATGCGTAACTGCAGGCCTGCCTTCCCCTGCCCTCTCCTCATGGGGAGTTCACTGAGCTGCAGACTAATTTTGGGGGCTTTAATTGATTGTGGGGACATGAATGCTTCCAGTAGATGAAATCATACTGACTTAGGCAGCCCCCTGCTGCTGGCTATTAAGTAACACTCCAGTGGATATGTTAATGCATGGAATGTTCCTTCTTTTAAATAGTTGTTTGGGTGCTTGGATCTAGCCAAGGGTCTTGTGCAGGTTAGGCAAGAGCTCAATCTAGGCCTTCCTCTTCTTTTAATTTTTACATTTATTTGAGAGTAAGCTGTAGGAGGTGGGGGGTGGGAATGTGTATAATACAGCACATTCGCGGAGGTCAGATGTCAGGCTTGGCAGCAAACACCCTTGCCCAGTGAGCCATTTTGCTGGTCCCTCCTCCTCCACCTCCTCCTCCTCTTTCTCCTTTCTTTTTTCTTCTCTTCCTCCTCCTGCTCCTCCTGCTCCTCCTCCTCCTTCTGTTATTTTCCCAGGATAATAAGCTTTACAGCTCTTGAAACAACAGGCAGCCAGGTTTGCATACAAACACAAGAGCTTAGGGTCCCCCTCCGGGAAGTGTCATGATTTCCCGTCTTTGTACATTTAATAGACATAACAGGTATGAATTATGAACTGGATATCTTTTTGTTTTATATGTGTTTGGTAAGCCAGGAAGACTAGTAGTATCATACTGCTTTTACAGAAAACTGGTATGAAAATATTTAAAGTATTATTTATAAAGAAATGTTGAAATAAAGTACTTATATATATTTCTTTGGCACCATGATTAGAATACCTACACAATAGCCCCAAGCATCTTTCCTATATTCTAATTCAGTTGCAACCCTGTTAACTAATATGCAGGAACCCAGCTAAGAAGACAAAACGGGGGCCCATGGCTTTTCTCTTTAAGTGAGTCATGGGACGTAGGGGTTGTTGTTCAGTCTGCCTCCGGGACAGACCAGGAATTGCTGTCTGGAGGGGACAGGGAAGCAGCAATTGTGGCTGTTTTTCAGGGTAGAGGGGCGTGTCTAGTGGTGGGAGGATTTTGAGCTCCTTGTCCGTTGGGGATTCAGGCAGAGTATTGAGATCACTAGATAGGGGTTGCCGTGTGACTCCAGAGTTCCCCTTTCTTTTTAAAGGATGGCTAGGCGAATGTCTTGATAGATAGATGACGGATACTTGGGTGCATGGATTGATGGATGGTTGGGTATGTCAATGCATGGATGTTTGCATGCATGTTGCATGCACATACGGTTGGATGCATGGGTGGGAGGTATGCCGATTTTTTTTCACACTGTTTCCTCGGCCTGGACCACAGTGGGCGAGACTGGAGAAGAGAGCCATGCTTTTAGGACTGGAGGGATATGAACTAGACTTGGGAGAAGGTGAAGTGTGCATTACACACATTCACGCAGTTGGCACTGTGCTGGGCTGAAGGGTTGGGGAAGCTGTGAGACAGCCCAGGTAAGGAGCCTGGAGCTGTTCCAAGGAGAAGGGACATAGCTTGGAAATGCCTGGTTTGTTAATAAGGGCTCTGACCAGGACCCAGCATACTGTTCTTATTATTGTTTCTAGTTATTGTTGTTTCTCCTTTGGAGATAGAGTCTTACTGTGTAGACCAAGATGGCCTGGAACTCAGAGATCCACCTGCCTCTGCTTCCCCAGGGCTGAGATTAAAGGTGGGCACTACCACACCCTAAACAAGGAAAACAGCCACTTTCATGCTATGAGTTATAGGCCCCCTTTTCTTTTCTTCCCCCCGCCCCCAGGGGGGACAGGCCCCCTCCCAGACCTGGAGCAGAGCTAGACCCAGCCCAGGACCTGGAACCCCCGGTGGCTGAGGAGCCAGAGGCCGTAGGGCACACATTCGGTTCATCTGCCGGGCAGCACATCTGGCCAGGGTTGTCTATGGACCCATGCACCAGGGCTTGGGCAGGGAAATGTGCTCCGTGATCTGAGTCAGCAGCTGCCAAGTTTCTCCAAGTGGGTGGGGGTGGGAAGCCACTGAGCAGTGTCGAGGAGGGGAGAGTCAGGTGGGTGGCATCCTGGGGTCTCCCGTTGTCCCCGGTGCTACCCTGTGGAGTGTTGCTGTGTGTGGGCCCCTTGCCCTGCCGGGCTGGGCCCTGACTGACTGGGTGGGGTCTCCTTGCAGAGGACGGCGAGGCCGTGAGCAGCTCCTACGAGTCCTATGATGAAGAGGAGAACAGCAAAGGCAAGGCAGCCCCCTACCAGTGGCCCTCGCCTGAGGCCAGCATTGAGCTGATGCGTGACGCCCGCATCTGTGCCTTCCTGTGGCGCAAGAAGTGGCTGGGCCAGTGGGCCAAGCAGCTCTGTGTGATCAGGGACACCAGGCTCTTGGTCAGTCCTCATCTTCTTTCCTGGGGCCGGGGAGGGGTGGAGGGGGGCTCCTTGATATGACTTTGGGGGGTAGATAGAGCCTTTGATGTCAGGAGAGTTTCGCACCTTTCCCTGACTTACCGATCATGTGCAGGGTTTGCATGTGCAGATGAGTGTGTTTTGTCTGCATTCGGGAGACCTGGTAGTTTTTAATTAAGCTGTCAAGGCAGGAAGGTTTCTTTCTCCCCTCATCCTAGGCCCTACACCTTGCTTATTTTCGGCGGGGGTCGAGGTAGGGTTTCACCGTGTAACCAAGGCAGACCTGAACTCACCATTCTCTTGCTGAAGCATATCCAGTCAGTGGGGGAGATTACGGCCACCACAGTGGTCTGCTTGCTGCTGCTGCTTCCTTTTCTCCCCCCCCCCTCTTCCCCCTCTCTCATCCCTCAGTCCTTCTCATATTATGGTGTGCAAACCCAGCGGCTCCCTCAGTCCAGCTGAAGCGACTGTTGGAATCATCCCAAGAACTACAAGACTTTGCAGCACCGCCTATGCTAAGTCAGAACCTGCAGAGGAACCGGAGACCTGGCTCTGACGATAGTTCTACTTCCTGATATTTTAAACAAAAGTTCACAGCTTTGAACTAGGTGTGGTTGGTCAGCTGCTCAGGAGTGCAGGGCAAGATTGTTTTGAGTTTTGGAACTCAAGGCCAGCCTGGGCGTCGTAGCAGGACTTCACCTCAAAACCAGGACAAACGTTGACAGCTTTGTGTCCTGACCTAAAGTTTCACAAGGTCTTCTTCATAAACCCCTTCACTCTGGTCACAGTATGTCCACCTCATTCCAGATGTTTTCCGGGAGAGGTTGCTAGCTGTCCTGTGAGGGCCTTCATTTTACAATGAGACTCTGAAGGGCAGCATATCTTCTCTGGTAAACGCCTAAAGGGAGATGGTCCCTTCCTTTGAGTTCTGTGATCTGGCAAGATAGACTCGAAGCTTGCTTTTCATGCCCAGTGGATCTTTTGCTGGCATAGCTAAGACATGCAGAAAGGTCCAGAAATTGTGGAGAAGTGAATTCTGTCTACGGGGGATAGAGAGTCATATGCTGCTTAGTGGGGTGACACATTCTGGGAAATGTGTCCTCAGTGATCTCATTATTGTGAGGGCATCATGGTTTCTTACGCAAACTAGCACAACCGTGTCATTAAGGGAAGCCATTGTGTATCACTGTAACCCACCCATGAGCAGGGCATCGCTAAGTGTCTGTATTTGAATATCCCCCTACTCTGAGGCCAGAGCAATCTAGACCTATTTGGGTGATTCAGGTCCTGGAACATCCCTGTTCAAAGTCAAGAAGAAGGAGGCTTGAAGGCAGGAGAGAGAGGGTCTGATGGAGATTAAGGCCCTGGGTTAGGGTATCCAGCCCTATGGCTTGAGGACATAGTCAGGCTCATTTAGGAGAGGGGACACATCAGTGTTCAAGGGTCTCTCCTTTGCAGGATCCACCCCTGTACTCCAGCAAAGCAGCATCTTCCTTTTCTTGCAGTGCTACAAATCGTCCAAAGATCACAGCCCTCAGCTGGACGTGAACTTGCTGGGCAGCAGTGTTGTGCACAAGGAGAAACACGTTCGGAAGAAAGAGCACAAGCTGAAGATCATGCCGATGAATGCCGACGTGATTGTGCTGGGCCTGCAGAGCAAGGACCAGGCTGAGCAGTGGCTTCGGGTAAGGGGGATGCACCAGGCTTCCTCCAGTGCTCAAGTGTGGGGCTCCTGAAATTCTGGCTCCCAGCTTCTTCTACAGGGTGGATGATGAGGTTGACAGTGGGCAGGGTCTATGATCTCTCAGTTGCTCAGGGCCTGTAGCATTCTGGGTATTGGCAATCAATGTCATGGACCACAAATAATGCTCTGCTGCTCAGTTAGATTCCTTGGAAGCCGGGAAAGGCTATAGTGGGAATCTCTTTGCGGTCTTCCTTCTGAAGAGGAATCACAATTCTAACATGATAAAGGCAATGGGTAGGTGCTGCATCTGTGAAGCATGAACTGTGGGTGTTGAGCAGATGTAACCCTGGGTGCAGCTGGGCAGTCGCTGAGCCTGTTTTATGGGACAGGAGATGAAGGCTCAGAGGGCAGAGGTAGCCATTCACCTGGCAAATGAGTTGCAGCGGGATATAGATTCACACCGCACGGTGATTCCTGCCACCTTAGATGTGACTCTGCTGTTGCGTTCTCAAGCTGAGATGGAGGGGCTTCCTGCCTAAGCAGAGATGTTGAGCGTGGTAAATCCAGAAGGTCTGCTGTTTGAGCAAGAAAAGACTCAGAGTTCAGCAAGGTCTCAAAGCCCCCCCCCCAGGGCCCTGGTGATCCCGGTGATCTCTCCTTCCTGCTACCTGCTCAACCATCCTGCCCACAGTAGCTGCTTGTGGCATTGTATCCACCACCCCACCCCTCACGGCTAAGCATAGCTGTCGCCGTGAGCATATCAGGAAAGAGCCTGAAACACATCATTAAAATATGACTGGAAATGGTACCTGCCCAGGCATTGGCCACCCTGTGCACTGAGTACCCCAGGTTTGAAGCTGACGTGCTGGTTTTATGTTTTCAAGACAGGGTTTCTCTGAGTAACCCTGGCTGGCTGTCCTGGAACTAGCTGGCCTCGAACTCAGAGATCTGCCCGCCTCTGCCTCCCAGAGTGCTGGGATTATGGGCATGTGTCAGGACAGTCCAGCTGACAAGCTGTTTTTGTGAAACCACTAAATGTTTTGAGATGTCTGGTCAAGCCATTCACCTGGGAGGGACTGAGAGACACTTCAGTCCTTTCTGAAGAATTTTCAGGGACTTATACACTATTATGGTGAAGAGAGGGGCTTCTGTACAAACAGATATGCAGTTTGCATGACGTGAAGGATTCCTGAGCAATTATTTGACTCTGAAGAGTAAACCTGTGTGTGTGTGTGTGTGTGTGTGTGTGTGTGTGTGAAGTGATCGTGAGTTGGTTTTTTAATGCATGCAAAGGGCTCAGCACTGGACCCAGTATATGCCAAGTACAGGATAATTGGCCATCAGAGGCCCAGAGAATGCAAGGCGCTGTTCGGGGTCTGCAGAGTTCCTGGGACCCAGGGCTGAGTTGCTGGTTGAACTTTCTCTTTCCTAGCTCTCCCTCTCGGTTTCTGACAGTCCTGCCCATCCTCGTACTCTCAAGTTCACACAGGCACTCACACCTGTGCACATCTACACGCTGGCACACACAAACACTGCATGCATGCACACATATTTATGATCATGTACTTGTACAGGGATACACACATGCACACTGTTCCTATGTGTAGTTCCCTCCCTCTTGCCCCCCCGGGGGTCCCCCAGGTGGTCCCAGGATCAGAAGGGAATGCAGAGCTGATTAGTGAGGTCCGGGCCATCTATGTCCTATGTGTCCATAGGCGGGACACCAGGTGCCAGCTAAATAGGTCATTTCTTGAAGAGGTGAGGTGGCCTCGTGGCTGGTAGCCTGTGGCCAGCAAGTGTGCAGAGTTTACATCAGGTCAAAATTGTACGCAAGCATGCTTCTGAATGGCGTGGAGAACACAGCCCCGGAAAGTCAGGGAAGCATCAGCAAGTGCACACTCACAATTGTAACACAACAGGACAGAGCCCCTACCCTCATGGTGGCAGAAAGGGGGATCAGGGCATCCAGGGGTGGCTGTTGTGCTATCTGTGGGCCTTGGTGCAGTAACCCCCGGCACACTCCCAGATTAGGGAGTTCCTTCGGGGAGTGTATGAGTGGCATCTGTGTCCTCAGAACACGTGTGGGCTGCATCCAGGGCATAGGTGCTTCTGGTCTTGGGGGTTCGGTCTTCCATGACTCGAGGGACCGTGCCGCCATACTGTGATGGCCAGGCCGCAGGGCCATGCATGGACCACGCCCTCTGTTCACGGTGCTTCTTCAATCCAGGTCATCCAGGAGGTGAGTGGCCTGCCTTACGAAGGAGCCGCAGAGGGAAACCAATACACGCCAGACGCCCTGCGCCTGAATTGTCACAAAGTAAGTCCCCCCACCCCCGCCCGAGGGAGGATCCAGTTCTGTGTCGTCTTAGTAGAAACTCAAGAGTATGAAATCGAAAGCCCCGTCCATCCTTCGTTCTTCTACTGCAGCCCAAGTAATGAGAAACACACGCGGCTTGGGCGAGAACAGGAAGTGAGCTTGGCAGGGAAATGGATGTATAGTCCTAGCTGCTGTCTTGCTTAAGAAGGAAACATTATTGAAACAAAAGTCACTTTGCCCTGTGCTTCTTCTTTATATAAAACTCGGGTGGGCTAAGCTCATCGCACAGAGTGATGGATATCAAGAGACATTTTCCGTAAAGTGTGTCAGGCACCTCCATCCACTAGTCCCGTTGGTCTCCCAAACCCTGAGGTACTGCTGCCAGTACACAAGCTATTTTATGTCTGTGTAGATCTGATGGGCTCATGCCGTGCTTGTCTTTCTGAGTCTGACGTATTTGTCCCCATGTGACAATCGCCGACGGTTGAATAGATCTCCATTGTATTTATGTGACACATTTCCTTTACTCATCTGTTGAGGGATCTAGGCTGATGTGGCAACCTGATTATCGGGGATTACTCTATATTCTGAGGCTCTCCCCTACCCCCCCCCCAGCCTCCAGGTGGAGCCAGTCCCTCCTGGGTCCAGCCAATGGCTCCAGGGCTGCCTGGGGAGCTTTGGTTTTAAGGGTCAAGGAAGTTGTAGGAAGTGCAGTCACCTGTGGGTCACCCTTCCTATTCCCAAGTGTCAACAGGCAGGAGCTACCAGCAGTCACCGGGCATGGTTTCTTTCTCAGCTTGTGTCCCTAGCACTGGCAGGGAAAAATGCAAGAGGGCACAGGGAGCACTTAGAGGGGGAGGGGGGGAGGAGGAGAGGGAGGAGGGGGAGGGAGAGAAGGAGGGGGAGGGGAGCAGAGGGGGAGGAGAGGGAGGGGGAGGAGAGGGGGAGGGGGAGAGGGAGGGGGAGGGGAGCGGAGGGGAAGGAGAGGGAGGGGGAGGGGAGGAGGGGGGAAGAGGGGAAGGAGAGGGGGGAAGAGGAGAGGAGAGGAGGGGGATGCCCTTTATTCTCTGGAAGGTTGAAGGCCACATGGAAAGGCCCTACATCTCGGCAAGGGGTGTCTTCGGGGTCTCACTGTTAGTTTGGGTTCCCTTCCAACTGGGTGAGCATGAGGGTCCTCCCTGGAGGCGCAGCTGCCCACTGGCCATGGGCCCACTGCCATCAGGTCCAGCATTCATCTGGGACGCTTGCAAACAGGATGTCAGGGAAGGCGCTGAGGATGGGGGATTGTGGGTCTCAGGAAGGACGGTGACTGTAGGCGCTCCAAGAGCCCCAGAATGAAGCTTGGTCAGTGTCCACCAGTCACCGCAGTCCTGGCTGGTACAGAGCCATCTATTTCCCTTTACATTTTGGTTCTCAAGGTACCAATTCCCAGCGGGTGACCCCTGTCCATCTCTTTGTTGTCCACAGCCAGATATAGCTGAGAAATACGTGTCAGCTTCGGAGTGTGGGAGCTCCGCTGATGGCCACCCTGAGGTTCCAGAGACCAAAGACGGTAACCAGACTCTGGCCCTCTACCTCTTGGGTGGGAGGGCAACAGTAGTCCAAAGCGTGAGACCTGGCTGTCTGGCTCAACACTAATTGTTTTGGGGGTAGCTGGTGCTAACATAGCCTGAAACAGAACAAAAGGAGACAGGGCCCAACCAATGTTAAGTTTGGCCACAGGCTGGAGAAGAGGACATCCTTCCAGCTCCTTTCCAGTCCTGTTTCAACTCTCTTTGAGGTCACATGGTCTATGAAGACTCCCAGTGTTCAGCTACATGGAGATGCCTGTAGATCCCCATGAATGCACGGCTGTGGAATAGCCAACTTGGCCTTCCATCCCCGTGTGGGGAAGATGTGTGTGTGTGTGTGTGTATGTGTGTGTGTGTGTGTGTGTGCGCGCACACACACGTGTGCACGCGCGCGCGCGCACCTGGGCATGTGTGTGCATGTGAATGTGTAGGCTTGGGGGGGGGGATGAGCAGGAAAGTGGGGATGGGTTTGCATGTGAGTAGGCTGTGTCCACCACTGATGGCTTTCTCTGTCACCTTAATAGTCAAGAAGAAATGTTCGGCTGGCCTCAAACTGAGCAACCTAATGAACCTGGGCAGGAAGAAGTCTACCTCGATGGAGCCCCCAGAACGGACCCTCGAGACACCTAGTAAGACCCACGGTGACCCCCAGGACCTGGGGCTTCTTCTCTGTTTTGGTGGCCATCTGAGAAGGCCGAGGAGAGCTCTCAGAGCTGGGGGGGGGGGGTGGGCTTGTCTTCCCTGTTGGTTCTTTATGCTTCCCCAGCTTCCGTCCTTTGAGGAAGTGAGGGGTCAGTGGTTGGTGCCAGCTCAGGGTTCCCTTACGCACTTCTCGCTTGGGGAATGACAGGCAGTGTCGGAACACGGTGGGCAGAAGGCACAGTCCTTCCCCTGAATACACATGGGACCATCTTCACAGTTAGCAGGATTGGGGGCCTGAAGAACCTTTCATGCCCTGTGACCAGAGATGGCTCCGTGGACCCGACCTTGGGTCGGTGGGAGCTAAGTAGGTTTAACTACTGAGGACTGGAGCAAAGCCTCTGAGATAGGACAGGTGACACCTGTTGGGGACCATGGGAAGCCGGAGTGGCCCGTTTAGAGGGCGCCAGCCCTCTGGGTCTTTTTCTCTGTCCCATTCCTGGGCCCTTTCAGAAGACCCTGGTTCTTTTGTTGCTAGAGGCCCTGAGGACGGCCAGGTGGAAGACGAGGGTTCCCTCTGGGCTCTTCTGCCTCCCAGGCTGGGGAGTGGCTGGGTTCTGCTGTCACTGCAGCCTTGGGGACAGTGCAAAACCTGGGACCTCAGTTCCAGAGCATCACTGTGTGAGGTGGGACCAGGTAATTTCTGAAACTGTCCCGTGCTCATGCAGACTCTTCTCCCTGTGGCTGGGGCCATGGCAATGAGGACACGGGCACTCAGGGACAAACCTCTTATTTCAGTTAATCTAAATTTCTCATTGTCTAGAGGACCGTGATGGCCTCAGAAGCATCTGTTTAGAGCTAAGGTTCTAGTGTCTCTAGCCACCACCATGATGGCATATAAACATGGTGTAGAGACATGCATGATCCCCAGTACCCACTGTGTGACCATCTGTGGGTGGGGCCAGAGGGTGGCTGTCTACTCTCTCCTCCTGTCTGCTTATCTGGCTAGGGCTAGCGGCTGCCAATCACTTAGAATGAAGACCTGTGTATTTGAGATACCAGGCTTGGAGAGACGGCAGTTTATCACAGATGGGTATGGAGAAGGCCGGGAAGCCACGTGTGTCCTCATCATTGCTTCAGGGACGAGACTGCTCTGGTGCATGATAAGTTCTCGCTTCTCTCCTTGAGAAGCTGAACACATACGCACTACCATCCGTGAGTGGGAAAGGATGGCATCCCGGGTGCAACCCGCTTCTGGTAGCTTCTCTGTGCTGCAGGGGAGAGGGCCCCCTGGACAAATGGCTGAAGGCTGCAGACCTGGGTTCTGCAGAGCACCTGCTGCAGGTCCTGGAGAGGCGCATGTGCCCCGCGGGGGAGGGGGAGGTCAGCAGAGTCTTACTGAACCAGGGCCCAGACTTTCTAACTAAGGCAGACCGAGTCAGGGCTAGAGAAGGCATGGACTCACCTGCTCAGCTGGAAAGAGAGGGTCAGGCACTGTGGGCTGAGCCTGGGCAACATCTCAGGGAAACTGAGGCTACAGAGGCAGCAGCACACTCTGCAGCCAGGAGATTTGTCCTGAGTACTGGAAGTAAGGGTTGCCTGCTGGAACATAGGGAGGCCTGGAGATGAGGTCTGTGGGAGAGCCTGCGTCCTCAATGAGGTCCATGAGGAGAGCCTGCGTCCTCAATGAGGTCCATGAGGAGAGCCTGAGTCCTCAATGAGGTCTGTGGGAGAGCCTGCGTCCTCACTGAGATCCGTGGGGAGAGCCTGAGTCCTCAATGAGGTCCATGGGGAGAGCCTGAGTCCTCAATGAGGTCCATGGGGAGAGCCTGAGTCCTCAATGAGGTCTGTGGGAGAGCCTGAGTCCTCACTGAGATCCGTGGGGAGAGCCTGAGTCCTCACTAAGGTCCATGAGGAGAGCCTGCGTCCTCACTGAGGTCCATGGGGAGAGCCTGAGTCCTCAATGAGGTCTGTGGGGAGAGGCTGAGTCCTCACTGAGGTCCATGAGGAGAGCCTGCGTCCTCACTGAGGTCCATGGGGAGAGCCTGAGTCCTCAATGAGGTCTGTGGGGAGAGCCTGCGTCCTCAGTGAGGTCCAGGGGAGAGCCTGAGTCCTCACTGAGGTCTGTGGGAGAGCCTGAGTCCTCACTGAGGTCTGTGGGAGAGCCTGCGTCCTCACTGAGATCCGTGGGGAGAGCCTGCGTCCTCAATGAGGTTCGGTGGGAGAGCCTGAGTCCTCAGTGAGGTCCATGAGGAGAGGCTGCGTCCTCACTGAGATCCGTGGGGAGAGCCTGCGTCCTCAATGAGGTCTGTGGGGAGAGGCTGAGTCCTCACTGAGGTCCATGAGGAGAGCCTGCGTCCTCACTGAGGTCCATGGGGAGAGCCTGAGTCCTCACTGAGGTCTGTGGGGAGAGCCTGCGTCCTCAGTGAGGTCCAGGGGAGAGCCTGAGTCCTCACTGAGGTTCGGTGGGAGAGCCTGAGTCCTCACTGAGGTCCATGAGGAGAGGCTGCGTCCTCACTGAGATCCGTGGGGAGAGCCTGCGTCCTCAATGAGGTTCGGTGGGAGAGCCTGAGTCCTCAGTGAGGTCCACGAGGAGAGGCTGCGTCCTCAGCAGGTACTCACCAGTGCTATAATGGAGGACAAATTCCACGTTCCTCTGGTCATACTTTTGCCAAGGACCAGGACAGATGTGCTGCCCTGCCTAGGTGTGCCTATTTACCCAAAGGAAGAGAATAATGCACTCTGAGACGACAGGGCAGGTTCTGAGGCAGGTGGTATTCTAAGAGGCCCAGTGATGGTGCCTTCCCTAGACACTGTGGTTTTCTAGGTCCCTGTTGAAAAGTGTTGCCCTCGTCAGATGCGTCCCCTTCCAGGCCTCACCCTCCTGTCTGCATGTCCCTCGGCAGGCTACCTGAATGTGCTTGTGAACAGCCAGTGGAAGTCACGTTGGTGCTTTGTTAAAGACAGCCACCTGCACTTCTGCCAGGACCGGAACCGAAGCAAGGCGGCCCAGCAGCCCCTGAGCTTGGTGGGCTGTGAAGTAGTTCCAGACCCCAGCCCCGACCACCTGTATTCCTTCCGTATCCTCCACAACGGCGAGGAGCTGGCCAAGCTTGAGGTACGTTGGCTGTGGGCCAGGCAGTCTCCACTGTCCACTGAAACTCGAGGACCACGATCCCACTGAGAATCAGTGTGGCTTCGCGTTGTAGCTACCCCTGCCACCTGTAATTGTTTGCGTTTTTTTAAAATGTCCCTCCTCCTTCAGACCTCGGAGTGGGTGGCTTTGTGTCAGGAGTAGCTTCCTGCACTTAGGGCAGTCAAGGAATACCTTTAGTGCCCGCAGCTGCCAGAGAGGCTTCTGAAACTCAAAGGAGTGCTATTTACTTTGCATGCCCCCAGCCAGGAGAAGGCAGAGTCCAGTACACAAAGATGAGGGCTGTCCGGACTTATCTGGGATCAGGACTTGCTCTGTGATACGTTCACATGTTGGCCTCTCCCTGCTCTTGGTTTCATGCACTGTTACAGTTGCAAAAACAAGAGATGACATAATGCAAGCTTGCAAGGAGTCCCACAGGCGGGGCCAAGTTCCTTGCACACAAGTAAGCACTTGCCCATTAACTCCTGTCCACTTAGCCCTTGATCCAGGGGTCTTTCTAAGTCTGCTTCAATGCTGCCCTCTGGTGGCTGCACAGAGACAGGTTCACCCACTGATTTGTGGGCTACTCATTGGATGACAGGGAAAACTGGTCTCTGCCCTCAGAATGTATTTTCTAGTTTGGTGGTGACATTTGGCTGGTTACACAATTAGCTCTTTACTTACAGTTTCAAGGAAGGATAAGGGCACCATGAGTGTTTGCTGGGCATAGGATGAGGCTGAGGCAGGGACAGAGCTTGGATCCTAAAAGCTTCAGAGCCCTGGGAGGGGTTCAGGAGAGAGGACATGATGGAATGGGTACATTAAGATGCTGCTGTTTGGGGGAGGTAGATGAAAAAGGGACTAGAAGGACCAAAAAATAAGGACCAGGAAGCCGCCGCACCTGCCCGGTGTGGGGACAGTGACCTAGGATAGATTCCTTTGAAAAGCAGTATTAAGAAATCCAACCAGAAATAAGCAGGGAAAAGAAAGGACCCACCTCCCTTTTCCTGTGGCTGTGAATAAATGCCGGATGGAAAACTTAGGAGGAGGAAAAGCTGGTTGGATCCATGCCACCCTGGAGGGGAAGGCATGCCCACAGAGGTGTGTGACACCTGGTCACATGGCATCCACAGCCAGGAAATGGGTGGATGCTGGAGCTCTTCTCGCTTTCTCCTTATTCAGTGCAGGAGCCTGTCCATGAAACGGTGACACCCACAGTCAGGGTGATCCCCCTCTGCGTTTAAACCTTTGTGGGGACATCCTCACAGACATGCCCGTCTCCTGGGTACCACATCCATGCAAGCAGACAATGGAGATGTCACACCAACCAAAATTCAAGCTTGCTCTCTAAGCATCTCTTTAGAGGGTGGTAGGATTGTGTGGGATAATGCCAGAGGGGTAGCTGGTTTTGCTCATGAAAATAAGCCTGTGACCTTTATAAAACTAATATTGACATTTGATTAGGATGCATTCTCCCGTACGATGTGTAGTCCTTCAGTAACAATTTCAGCAACAACTCACAGTTGATAACACTTGATAACCTTGACAGGTTTTCGTGGTTTTACCTTGAGAATGTAGTTATCAGCTTCTAGAAACATGTTTACAAGTTACACTGCTGTCTAGGGTGTCATTGAGAGTGATACCCATGGTCTGTCTCACTGCCAAGAAACCCTACTTAAGTTCACTTGGGGATACACCATGCTGGCAAAACTTGGGGTGCCCTGTGCAGGCTGTCTCATGCTGGATGGCAGGGATGGGGGTGAGCTGTTCTTGCCTAGGGGGAGGGACCGGCCTGGATATCATTCATGACCTTCAGTGTCATTTTAGGCCAAGTCCTCGGAGGAGATGGGCCACTGGCTAGGCCTCCTGCTCTCAGAGTCAGGCTCCAAGACAGACCCAGAAGAATTCACCTATGACTATGTGGATGCTGAAAGGGTTTCCTGTATCGTGAGTGCGGCCAAAACCTCTCTCTTGTAAGAAGCCGCCTTTCCTTGCATGTCTTCCCATCCATCCTTGCTTCTAGCCCTGGTGGGTAGCTAGGGCAGTGTGGCCACTGAGCACAGGGTCAGTTGAGTCCTGCTTGGTCCTGCATTAGGGAGCTATGAAGAAGGCAGCTGGGAGCTGCGTGGTACAGAGACCCAGATGAGAGCTAGCCCTGGGGGATCTGCATGCATGGCCCAGGCCTGAGGACAGAGTAGGTGATTTCCCTGAGGTGCCCTGCCCTTCCTCTGAACTCCTCCCTGGGCCTCTGGTGCATTGTGGGACATGTAGGGTGAGGCGCACTTCTGCTTTACACACAGGCTTGGGCAGGGGTGTCTCTGCCGGTATTGACAGTATCCAGCCTGGCCTCTGAATCGGGCCTGTTCCTGGGCATATAGAATGGGGGTGCATCCTGTCTGAGCTGCCCTAGGTGCACCATGGGGTGGAATGTGCCAGGCCCTTGTGGCTGGTGCTAGGCTGGAAGTATAAAAGGGAAGGCCTGCGAAGACGGCCATAGGCCTCTGACAAGGGACTTAGGGCATGGCAGGTTGTTTTTCTCCGGAGAGGAAATGTAGACCCAAGAGCTCTGAAACCCTGAAGAGAGGCTCTAGCTGTGGGGATGTAGGCATTCATCTCAGACCTCTGTGTAGTCAAGGGCTTTTCTTCTGCATTCCTTGAGGCTGGTGGGACTCTACAGGGTCCTGGAAGCCTTATGCACCGCGTATGTCTTCCAGACTGATGCAGAGGAAGTTCTCAGAGCCCAACACATACATAGACGGCTTGCCCAGCCGGGACTGCCCGGAAGAGCTGTATGATGACGTCGAGATGTCCGAGCTGACAGTGGTAAGCTTTTGGGCTGTGGCACGGACTGCGGGGTCCTTCTGCTAAACCTCTACCACAGAGGGTCACATTGTCCCAGGATGAGTGGTTCCCGGGTCAGTCACCTACGCCATCAATGCAGACCACTCATCTTTCACGCAAGGGGTTGTGTGGTCTAACTTGGAGACCTATCTAGAAAAAACACCTGGCTATCTGCTCTGCTCAGTGCTCGGGGTAGAGAGTGGATGTTGGGAGCAGGGACGCCTTAGCGCTCCAAGGCCACAGCAGTAGCTGAGGTGTGCCCAGCACACTGCTGGCAGGGTCCGGGTTCTGGAATGAAGTAGTTGTGGGTAGCTTCGGCTCTCTCGATCCCACCCCGTCCCCTAGAGAGACTTTCCTCTTTACAGAATGCTGTGTCCCTCGTCCTCTGCCTCTGGACTCTGTCATCCCTCCCAGGACTCTGCAGAGGAGTCCTCTGGAAGGGAAGGGGCTATCCTAAAACTCCAGCATGGGAGGGGACAGGAGACCTGAGGCCAGGTCCCTTACAGTCAAGGGTATGAGGCAATAAAACCCCCCCTTACTTTTTCCTGTAGGTGGAGCCTCCCCAGGAAGCCACGCCCACTGCTGTAGACACTAACGGTGAGAGTGAACTTGACCGAGTGTACCTGGATCTCACACCTGTCAAGTCCTTCCTGCACAGCCCCGATGCGGTACAGGCCTCTCTCCCAGCACTGCCCCAGCTGGATGACCTGGCTGAGACCCTCACAGTAGACCCAGACCCAGGCGTCACCCCAGAGGAGCCCCACACGGGGTCTCCAGAAAGCCTGGAGGACCAGCAGGTACACGCCACGCCATCCCCTAGCAGGCGCCCAGCCACCTTGCCCTGTCCTGTAGTCATGGAGTGTGATTTCTCTTGGCAGAGGCAACCCGAGAGTCAGGTGTCCTTGGAGCCCACGGAGCCCAGCTTGAGGGTCACCACAGTTACACTGCAGGCTGAGCAGCAGAGAATATCCTTCCCAGCTAATTGCCTGGACACGGTGACTTCTGCCCCCAGTGCCAGCCCACCGGTGAAGGACAAGCTCAGGGTGACCAGTGCAGGTACGTGGACTAGGCCCCGGCTTAACATTTTAGACACGGTGTAGTGACGTTAGCCTGAATCCCTCCCTTTTGTTTGAGGGTTCGATCAGGTTAGAAGAGGTGAAGGAACCTGCCCCAGAATCTGGGGGGGGGAGGGGGGACCTCTGCTGGGCTGGCATCAGCATGTGTGTTCTGTTACGTCCCGGGTTCTACCTAAGTCTAGGAAGTGCGCTTAGGCCCACCCTCTCCACCCATTCCTGGTGATGCAAGCCTTTCACTGTCTGGGTCTGTAGAGATCAAGCTTGGGAAGAACCGGACAGAGGCTGAGGTGAAACGGTACACGGAGGAGAAGGAGAGGCTGGAGAGGAGGAAGGGGGAGATCCGGGGGCACCTGGCTCAGCTCCGCACCGTGAGGAGAGAGCTCAAAGAGACCCTGCTAAGATGCACAGGTAGGGGCTCCGGCTTGACGTGGGCTTTGAGTGGGACAACTGGCGTTTGTCAGTCTGCCTTCTGGACCCCCTGCCTGAGCCCCCTCACCCCTGGAAAGGCCCCTCCTCTTCTGGTCCTGTCTGAGGCTGTCTCTGCCCATCCTCAGGCCAGTGTCAATACCAGCAGGTAGGGAATTGCTCCAGGGTTGCACCTGAGCCTGGGTTTGAGATCTGGGTCAGCTGACTGATGTCCACAGCCATCCTTCACTAACCACACCTGCAGCACACTTTAATTTCCAGGCTGTTTAAAAAAAAAAAAAAAAAATCTGAGGCCTTCTAGTGGATTTCCCAAGTTCTCACATCATTCAAGGGAGGTTTCCTAGCAACCTACCTCTGAAGCCTTCTGGATGACCTGACCTGGATCTCACTGGATATTTAAATCACTGAGTTGCCTCAGCAAGCACAACTGGCCTAGCAGGTTTGGGGACAAATAGAGCAGGTTTCTGGGAACCTTGTAGTATTACAATTGAAGGTCTTGGGGATAGTCCTTCCTCTTTTTAGCTGTCTATGCAGTCCACTTCCCCTAGCAGGTTTGGGGACAAATAGAGCAGGTTTCTGGGAACCTTGTAGTATTACAATTGAAGGTCTTGGGGATAGTCCTTCCTCTTTTTAGCTGTCTATGCAGTCCACTTCCCCAACAGCCAACCCATGTCAAATGCACAAGTAGTTTTTCTTCATATATTCAGTTAGCAGCTGACTGGTCCATTGCATTGTGGGGCCCCTGGTTGGGGAGGGGGTGAGTCCTTGGTGGTCATGGTCAGGATTAAGGCTGCAGGCAGGCATGGTGCTCCAGCAGTACCTGAGAGCCCTAACTGGGAATGGCATGGACTTTTGAAACATGAAACGCCCGTCTCCAGTGACACACCCCCTAACCCTTCCTGATCCACCTCCTGGGGACCAAGCCTTCACACATGTGAGCCATCAGGTGGGCGGGTGGGTGGCACCGTCATTCAGATCACCACAACCAAAGAGTCTGTCTCTGTAAGCAGGCACTTCCTGCTTTCTTGCGTCTCTCTAAGTAGGGTTCCTCTTGTTTTTAGAGTTCAGCGCTGAGACATTGTATGTCTTATTGCTATGCTGTAATATCTGGAATAAACAACTTAGAGGTGGAGGGGGCCTTATTTAGTCCATGATTGGTAGAGCACAGCCAAAACATACCTATCATCCCCCAGGAGTCCATTAAACTTATCAATGGATTCAACCATTGCTTCGTTGAAACCCCTCAAGAGCTCATCTCTGGGAATTGCTCAATCCGGTCAAATTGGTGATCAAGATTAGGCATCATGTATAGCATGAGGCTTACAGCAGGAGGTGGCTGGGACATGCAGTGACAGAGGGTTACCCATAGCAGTGCTTGGAAACTCCTCAGTGCACCAAGCCGGGCTGTGAGGACAGGGTCTAGGCTTCCCTAGCTCTCTGACATAGATATTCCAGCTAGGGGGAAAAACTTCTCACTGTGGTTTACTCTCCTGTCTTATAGTGACAGATAAGAAAGTGATCTCAAAGTATTGACATTGGATATAATATATATGCTAATTTCAGACTCCCAGACGTCACCAGCACTAGTTAACTTTTCCTGTGGTCCCCTGAAGCAGTGGCTCTGCTACTGCTTGTCATCCATCCACAGCTGCTGGCTGACTAGCACATCGAGTCTCTTGTAGTTAAATGGTGCTGGGGGCTCTGTGTTGGATGTAGGTGATGCCCTCACTCACTCTGGCAGGTAAGACCACATTTAACTCCTGGAAAGCACCAGGGGATGGAGGCAACCGTGTGGACCAGGGTCAGACCATGCCAGCCACCCTGCAAGAACCATTGGCGAAGTTGCTTTCAGGTTAGGATTGTGTGGCGAGAACCTACCAGCAGGGACTTGGACTCAGGTCTGCCTGGGGGAGCAGAGCCCGTCCCCCCCTGTGGATCCCGGCAGCCTGTGAGAACAGTGTAACTCAGACCTGGGCTCAAAGTCTGCCTACTGCGCACTGACAAATCCACTCCCAGGCCTGTGGTCCACATGAAGGGGTGCATGCAAGCCCCTGATGTATGCAGTGTGGGTCCCCTCCTCTGCAGATAAAGGTGTCCTGGCTGACCTGGAGCAGAAGCTGAAGAAAGTGGATGAGGAATGCCGGATGGAGGAGAGCAGGCGTGTGGACCTTGAGCTCAGTATCATGGAGGTGAAGGACAACCTGAAGAAGGCTGAGGCCGGGCCTGTGACATTGGGCACCACTGTGGACACCACCCACCTGGACAACATGAGCCCTCGAGTGAGCGCCAACAATTGTGCCTCCTGGACACAGGGTGGGAGAGATGGCATTCGTATTTATAAACCTTTTGTTCTCCTCCTTAGCCACACCCCAAAGCTACCACTACCACTCCTGATTCTACCCCAGTCAACTCGGCATCCGTGCTCAAGAACAGGCCTCTCTCTGTCATGGTCACAGGCAAAGGCACTGTCCTGCAGAAAGCCAAGGTAAGTGGCCAGCCCTGCCCCGCCCCCAGGGCCAGAGGAAGTGCTGTAAGGTGGGGCCCTTCGGCTGCAGATGGAACACTTGGCACTAGCTCTGAAAGAGAGGTGTACCCTCAGGAGAAACCCCCATGGCTCAGTCTTTGCCACTGATTAACCAGAAAGGTACTTAATTCCAGTGTCCTGCCCAGTGAGCCCGAGGGCCCTCCCCACAGCTCAGGATAGATTCCAGGGCAGGCTGCAACTGACATGTTTCCAACCCGGAGGGTTTCTACCATCAGAACCAGAGGAGCCAGGGACAAAAGGCTCAATTAAGTAAAAGCAGGGGCTGATCCCATGGCATGGTTGCTTGCCCAAGGGCTAAACAGGCAGCCTTATTAATCCTTAACGTGTGTGTGTGTGTGTGTGTGTGTGTGTGTGTGTGTGTGTTTAATAAGAAACGTGCCTAGAGCTGCCTCGAGGGTGCTCTTTGTTCCCATCCTGTGTGCTTGCTGAGAAAGTCAGACACCCACGCCAATGGTGAACTATTAAACCCATTCACAACCACATCAGCCTCTACCCTCCCTGACCACCACAGACATCACTAATCAATCACAGCCTCAGAATCTCTCCATGGGGTCTCTACACAGGACAGGGATGAGGCCAGCTGTACCTGTAACTGCTTTTGAACTTGTAACTTTTCTTCCCTTCTCCACACTCGTGAAGGTGGCTGCAGAGGATAACTCTCTTTTCCGGGATGTTTATGTTTAGGAATGGGAGAAGAAAGGAGCCAGTTAGGAAGCAAGAAGACGCTAATGTCAGTATGGACCTTGGTGACAATCCTGCTTGGGTCACGTCTCCGATGTACAGCATAAGGAAGGAGGGGTGAGTCTGAGCAGAAGAAAAAGCGAGGAATGAGGTGCCAGGACTAGAGCTCCAGTTAGAGGGAGGCACCATCCCCTTTCCAAGCCAAAGGGAATACGTCAGCGGCTTCCTTGAAGACCTAAGTCTGTTGGCTGTCAACACGACATTGTACTTTTTTTTTAAAGATCTCATCCATCAGTCTATTGCTTTATCAAAGTTTTTAAGTAGTGAAAAAAAATGGCCATGTGGCTTTGGTGACAAGAAAATCTAAACTTCTGACCCTTATCCTGTAATTGACAACATTAAGGGTTGAATCATTCTTGTCTCTACACTGGTGGGCCCCGCTGTGGTCTCTGATGACCTTAAAGAGCAGTCCTGATTCAACTGCCTTTAAGAGACAAATTCTTAAACAATGCTGTATTGTGTAGGGGAAATTCCCTGTGTTTACAGACCCCCATCCTGCGGCCAGGCCACTTTTGAGAGTAAAAGAGTCATCAGTGACCTCTTCATTCCCATTTTAAAGACATTTTAAATTTCTGGTCCCCTTGCAAGAAAAACAGTTGTGAGTTAGAGTAGCCTCTCTCGTCTGTTGGGATTGGCAGCCAGTGCTGTCTTTTTGTGGTCTGCCTCTCTCCATGATGGCATTAACACAGGTTGAAACATTTCATCTATCACCCACCCCATTTCTGGTCATTCAGAAACAGTTATAGAACACTGGTTCCTGAAGGCTAAATATTTTTATGCATATTGTCTTTCTAATTCCAGGGCATTTATTTCCTGTGTCATAAATGCTTGGTGACCTTTACCAAGTGGTGAATTAGATTTTTTTTTTTAAATAAAATGTTCATTGTATTTTGGGTTTCCCGTGTATTGCATGGCACAGAGCAAAGGTCTTGATTATTTACATGATGAACTTAAATATATGCTGTTAAAATCTGGCAGAGCCACGTGGGGTAGCCTAGAACGACACAGTAAGGACCCTTAGTCAAGCAAGCTAAGTTAATTACTGTATAATTAATAAGGTGCCAAGTACACAGGAAATGACTCCTGAAGCTAATTCCATGGAGATAATTGAAAGCTAAACCTCTGGAGGTTAAAACATACCCATCAGTATAACCTAAGCAAATGGTATAGCAAAATTGACTAGGAAGCCTTAAATCTAGATATTGACAACATTTTATAAGAAAATACTATGCCTACAGCAGTGTGAAAGTTTGGGAAATCCAAGTGTTGCATGAAAAGTAAGCACTGCTCCAATATGAAAAGGTCTGCAAATTGCAGAAACAAATCTTACGTAGGAGGCAAAAGATTGGTTCAATGACTAAAATATAATAATATATAACAATATGTACTTGTTCATATCCATAGTGAAATAAAAAAATGGAGTAAGGAAAGCATACTGCAAACCTGGAGAAGAGTAGTGTCTCAGCCAGCCAGACGGACCCACAGAACACTGACAAAGTTCTCTACACCTGCAGAGGGGAGGGAGTCTCATACGGGACGCATACATCATACACGTCACATGTCATGTCATTACCAATACTTCTCCAAGGCTATCCTGCAGCTTCCAGAGCTCGGCAATGCTTCTACTGAAAACCTAGCTCCAAACAGCACAAGCAAGCTGCATGGGGAAGGACACACGTGAGCGATACAGTTAGGGACCTAGGTTGCTAAAGATATATCCCACAGGATCCTCTGCGACACACAGATAGTATGCATGAATGACCAACCTCTCTCGAAAAGCCCCTCAACAGACTGGGCGTGAGAAGCGTGTAAGACAAGGTAAGCTTTGAAAGCGAAGCTTCTAGTCACCCCTCACCCCTTAGTGGCTGAGTTTGAGAAGTCTGTCCTTCATTTCCACTACTGAAAAGAAGACAGCCTCTGCCCCCCCCCCAGGTCTTACTGTGTAGTACCCAGGCCAACCACACCCCTTAGACACCATGGCCATTTCTATAGGGAAGTATGTCCCTTCCTTATGCACAAACTTGTTAATTGGTCAAATTGCTTTCTGAGACCTTCCCACACACAGATCTGGTCACCAGAAAAGGGTCACAAAAATGGCACATGATCCCTTTCCAGACTAAATCTGCATGAGATTTTGGAAAACAGAGAAGTCCACCGTTGTGTTTATACCATCACTGTATGGTATGCTCGTCAGATGCTTTCCTCCAGGCATTTCAGCTTTTCAACATTCCGTCTAGCATTTGTGATGCTCAAAATAACCGCCAAATGGCCATCAAACTTCCCTGGTCCTGTTCTTATCCTCAGTAAAAGTGACAAACAGGCACAGGAGGTAAATACTGACACCTTAAGGAGTTTCCAATATCACCATAGTGACTGACCGCTGTAGCTGTCCCAAGCAGTGTGGTCCTGTGGCAGAGGCTGTGTGAGCAGGGCAGCCATGCTTAGGGCTGGAAGCAGACTCTCCAGGACCCCCAGGAGCTGCACCAGGCCACAGACAGTGCCTTTCAGATTCTGAGATGCCCAGGAGCTTGCGGGGAGGGGCTTGGCTGCTGTCTTCCTGCAGGCTCCTGATGGGAGCCACGTGCTGTGAGTGCATCCCCTCTCAAGATGCCTGGGAAAGAAAGTAAATTCCGAGGGTGTTTGAGTCTTATCAGCCAGTGGCTACTTCATGTCCTTTTTACTCCACAACTCAATCCCGCAAGCAAAAGGCACCCGATAAGGAGCCCATCTCGCCGCCCAGACCCCCTCCTCCTTGGCCACTGGAAGCCAGTGTGCACCAAGGGCTGGCCACCCGTAGCTTGGGGTTGTCTTCTGCCTGGTCTAAGGAGGCCTAAATGTTGCTGTCCACACCCCCCCCCATGTTACCAGCCTCCCCCCATCTGTTCCCGGCTCTCCCTGAAGCCCCTTCCCTCCCCTCAAAGCTGCTCTTGTGTCAAACAAATGGAGGCATTCAAGAATGGACAGCAGAAACCACACTGTGTCTCCACCTACACGTCTCTGGTCCCACATCCTGTGGCCAGTGCACACGACTCCTTCTAATGGCATCCCAGTGCTACCAATGCGCATACTGCAGTACTATTTCCCATCTCCTGTCCTAGCCATCAGCCTGTATCTCCCATCTGGGATGCCTGAGATGTGTAAGACCCTCTCAGATGTTCCGTAGGGAATGAACAAATGACTGGATGACACAGCCCGCCCTCTGCTGAGAGTGTAGAACCTGGCGGGACTAAGGAGAGCGCCCCATCCATGCTTGAGAAGCCACTCACGGTTCTCGCAGTGGGGGCCTCCCCAGCCACTGTGGCATTCACAGCGGTAACTGCCATGCTTCAGGACACAGACGCCTTCATTCATGCATGGGCTGGGTTTGCAGAGGTCCACCGGCCGCTTGGCTTCTGCAAAGGAGAGTGTGCCCAAGCCTGGCTCAGACCCAGAGGCCCCTATTCTAATCAAGCCCAAAGCCACCTTAAAGGCTGTGGAGCTGCATTAACTAACACCTGAGTGTCTATCTCCCTGGGACCTGCAGCAACAGCTTAGCATGCGGCTGATGAGACTGGGGCTCCGTGGGACTTAGGGTTTAGCGCATAAGCTGACACATGGCTAATGAGGACTAGGAAGCCGTCTCCCTCATAAGGATGTGTGTGACAGCTCTAAGGAATATGTACTCTCTCCCGCTTACCTCTACATATCCACTCGACGAGCACATCCAGGTGGTACCGAAGGTCCGTGTAAGCCGCCACGTGGATCAGGGCATCGCGGGGGCCAGCGAGCCTCCGCACTGTCTCTCTGAGGACAGCCCCCACGCTCACAACCAAGACTGAGATGCCATTGTCTCTCAGCTTCTGGGCGGGGGCGGCTGCATCTTCTGCCCCGCTCCCTCCTGTGAGCATCACCACAGCCTTGGGGACGCCAGGGCGGGCACCCCTCTGCACAGTCATCCCCTTGTCACCAACGTGCAGCAAGGCTGTGCCAGCAGAGCCCACACCCCCTAGGTAGGGGGCCTGGCTCATGGCCCGCAGCACAGCAGCACGGGTGGGGTGGCTGTCCAGCCCGAAGGCTGTCTGCACCTGGCTGCCATATACCACCAGGCCAACCTGCGTCACATCAGGGTTCACATCAAAGCGGAGGGTGCACTTCCTGACGAAGGTCTGCATCCGAGCAAAGTTCTCCGGTCCCACCGAGGCGGAGGCGTCCAGCAGGAACAGCAGGTCCAGTGACTGTGCTTGGCAGCCTGAGTAAGCAGGGGAGGTACCTGGCCTGGACCCCCCCCCCACACACACACACAGCTGGCACAGCAGGGACTGTCTGGGCTGGATGGAGCCCAGGTCACTCAGTGTGCTGGCTGCCAGGTAGCATCTACTCTCCTCGTAACCATAGCTCGCCCTTCTAAAATACAACGCAAGTGGTCACTTTGATGACTTCCAGTCTTCCTGGCCACTACTTGTGGCCCTGTGTGCACCTGGAAGCCATTTGCCTCCCACCTTCCTCCCCCATCTTTTTCTTAATGGCTAACAAACGGTGACTTTGGACCTCAACACGGAAGCCACGAGATGACAAACTCAAACCACCTGCTGGTCCAGGTCGTTCACGTCTGATCTATGGCAGGTGCTCCCGGCGTAGGAAACCCTTTGGAGACCCTGACGAGCCCCCTGCAGTGGGACTCACGTCCCCTACACCATGTACTGCCCACCATACAACGGGCACTTGCATGATGTGTATCCATCAGGCTGAGACCCATCCTCCGTGGACTAGCCATCTATGACATGCGTGTGGGAAATGAATGTGCAATAGAGTCAACAGCGTGGTAGGAAAAGCAGGACATGTGGCTTGAGGGTTCTGGGGAGGCGATGCTTCTGTTAGCGCTGAAGGAGAAATGGGAAGCTGATCGGTGCCTCTAAGTGGGGAGCCACCCTCCTCCACCTTTCAGTGTGTGGAGACTGCTATGGCAGGACAGGAGATTCCCAGGAGCTAGCGGGAAGAGCTCAGGTTCCTTTCAGACGCAGAGACACACACCGGGAAGGGTTAAATATGGAGTAGATGGGTCTGGTGGCCTGATTAATTGGCTTTTAAAGACCACACTGGGTACACGGAAAAATAGATGGTTCCACAACCACGGGAGCCTCAGGAGACAGGGCCACTAACTGTCCTGAGGGGCCACTGCTGGCACTTGGGGACAAGGAGATTTCAGGTAAAGGCCGAGAAGCCTGAGCAAAGGTAAGCTGTGCTGAGCAATAGATTATCAGCGTTGGTCTGCTAACGTAACAATGATCCATTCGAATGTGAGGGAGGGGACGTATGCAGGGATCTTCTGCAACTGGCACATCTCTTCTATACATCCGCGACTACGCTTAAACAAAACCAAAATCACTGTGCCATAGGAGACTGGGCCCAGAGGGACAGGATGGGACCGGGCACGGCAGCCCTCATCACTGTTACCCAAGTGGGCACTCTCGCCTCTGGGGACAGTAACCCAGCCTGGCGTGCTGTGCCATTTGCAGTTCCCTCCATTCAGCCCCCAGGGGAACACTGACGTGCCCTCTGAAGGATGTGTTCCAGCTCTGATGTCTCTGCTACCAGCCCAGCCCCTGCATGCCCATGCCGACTTCCAGGGCTGCCATTCTCCCTCTGACCGCTACTCACATAATCATCCCTGTGGGTCATGAACCAGACAGAACAGAAAAGTACATGCCAGGCAGACAGGCTAGGGATCGTCTTACAAAATATTCCCTGTGGTTGTGTTTGAGTGTGCAAGCAACAAGCGTGTGCGCATGTGTAAACATGCACACGCCCCAAGAATGCATTTCTCTTTAACGAGCTACCATCAGGAAGCTGCTGGTCTCCAGCAGACTTTGTAGACTCGGAACTGCTGAGGACGAATAGCGATAACCAAGCATAATTAGTAGCAACGTTTATGATTGTCAGAGTGCCTGGACATGCTGAGCATGTGCATGTGTGTAGCTTGCCTTGTCTAGTCCTCACAAGAAGTCCCCACAGAGTGCTACACTCAGTCCCTGCTGGCCATGGGACTATGATTCTAGTCCCCAGCATAAGGCATTAGAGAAAAGAATGGTTAGTGACCCCAAGAAGGAAGATGAACCTGTCTGCCGACAAGCCAGCCCTCGGTTAGGCTGCAGAGTTTTACCTGGGCGTGGCTGGCTGCACAGCCTCCTCTGCAGCTCCGGGATTTGGCTGAGGAGGTCCTGAGGGTCCGTGTAGACCATCACATTCTTCTGGCTACCTGTGATGACCTCTAGTTCCGCCTGCACGATCTCACTGCCCACACCCAGGAGTAACAGCTCCCGAGACCTTGCATGATCTGCTGGCCCAGCCACCTCATCCTGGGAGTGAGATTCAGTGAGCAGAACCACCGCTCTTAGAGGCCTGTCCTGGCCTGTCCTGCTGGCACTCCCAAAGCCATGCTCTGTTGCCTGTAGCAAGGCACCGCCCGTCAAGGTTGGGCCACCACTGAAGGGAATGCTGTCAAGGCTCCTGACCAAGTCAGGCACATCCTGGTACTCCCCGACAGGCACGGCCACCTTCAGATCCCTGCTATAACTGGCCACCCCAACACGGGCCCGAGAGTCCTCACTCAGCACGGCCTGCACAAAGCGCTTCACAAAGGTCTTGGCCCGCCGGAAGCCCTCCCGAGTGGTGCCTGCAGAACTATCCAGCAGGAAGAGGGCATCGATCCTGCATTCCAGGCTCAGCTTCGGGGCTGTAAGAATCACAGTGATGCATGCTGTCATCTAGAACATTGTGGCCTTGGAGTCCTGAGACAGCTTTTAAGATCATGGAAATGCACTCCTTGCATTTCTTCTAGAAGTGGCCCTGTTTTTATTTGCACGTACAGCTATCACCCTGGACTGACAGTGAGTAGGTTTGAGGTATGACATCCACTTGTTCCATATGGATTGCTGACGAAGGCAACAGCAAGCACACTTGTAAAAGTTACTTAGCAGGCTCTTGCTGTGTGCTAGATGCTGTGCTAAGCAGTTACATAATCCTATTTACCAACACCACCAACCACCACCCATGAGCTGACGGTCATAGAACCTTCACTGTGTGGCTTTAAAACTAAAAGAAGTTAGAGCTCCTTGTCCCTCTTTCGTAGACGATATGAAACAAGCCACCGACATTAGACAGTGCGGCCGGCGTGGTGCCAGCATCCGGATCAATCATGGAGTGTCTGAGGCTGCACTATGAGACCAGTGAGCCAGAGGGGAAGAAGGTAGCTTGAAAATAAATGTAAGGGCTGCTTTCTACCCAGCAGCTAGCAGGGGACAAGGGCAGAGCCAGGCCCTACCTCCCGCCGAGGTAGTCAATCTTGGGAACCCCAGGCATACGTACCACAGTTGACTTCCCCTCCAAATGCCAGCGGGCAGAGGCAGTGGTATCTATCCACACCCTCTGGAATGCATGTGCCTCCATTTTGGCAGGGCTGGGAGTCACAGGGGCCTATCAGAGAAACGCTAAAAGTCAGGAACACAGGCGTGGAGTGCAGAATATTGCCTGAAGGGTGGCCCCTGCTTTCCGCCCACACCATCTAGTAGGAGAGCAGACAAGAAAGTCAAATACCTAGAAGAGGGACTTGGTACAGTCGGAAGACCTTGGTCAGGCCCGAGGCAGTCACAGGCTCAGGGAGGGTGACCTCATGCGGCCCCTGCTCCCTCTGTGATATTAGGACATGGGCACCATTACCTGAGGCTGCTGAAGGGCGGGGGAGGGGGGGCACATAATGACTAACTTGCCTTTGACTTGAGTTTGCTAAGGTGACAGAGCAGGGCAGGGCAGAGCCTCAACCTCAGGTCGCATGGAGCCCACAACTTCCCCACAGCCATGGTCTCAGTGTCAACTTCTTACTTTCTATCAGAGGCCAGCCATGTCGGGGCTTCAACACTTTAAAAGGATGTGCCAAGGGGCTTGCCTAACCCAGGCAGGGGACCTTCCCGTCCTGCCTGGAGACTGCTACCTGTGCCCCTTACCTCACAGGGGGAGGCAGGGCCCCAAAAGAGAACCCTGGGGGACGGGGGCGATGTTTGCTTGCAGGACAGTGGGAGGTGCTGGGCCTCCGTGTGAGGGGCCTCCGTGGATGAGGGTTAATGCTGCTGACGGTTCTTCCCGGTGGGGACTCTGGAGTGAGCAGACCCTTCCACAAGCTATACCTAGTGCGTTCTTAGCAGGACGCAGGCATGAGGCATCCTATGGCGGGCAGTGGGAAACGGATGCTGCAAGCAGGTGGAACTCCACTTGCCAGAGGTGAAGTTAGAAGAACCACTCGGGTGTCCTGCCCCGGGTTTAATGCCAGATAGTGCGAAACAAATGTTACCCAGGGTGTTTCTCACTGGTGAGAAGTGGATTGGCTGGGGGGGGGGGCGGGTAATTCCAAAGCCATCAGTCAGGTTACCAGGCAGAGAAAGAGTTGAGTACACCAGGGCACTACACTAGTTCTTAGCCACTAAATACCCTTCCCTTTTGCCCTGGAGCTCATTCCAACCCCACCTTTGCTCAGGGCTGTCAGTGTCCCTTCAGAAACCAGCCTCACAGAACTGGTGGGTCCAAGAGGGACATCATACCTGGGCAGATGGTCCTGTAGCAGGTGGCAGGGTGTGTCTGGAGCACTCTCTTCCAGCTGCAATCCAAGGAAGTACGGTGGTGGAATTGTTAGTGTTCAGGCATCTGTACTGGCCTGCCCTTGGGGTTCTAGCAGGATACACCCTCAGCTGCAGCCACAAGAGCACCACCTGTGCACATTCACTGTGTTTCCTTTTAAAAGGGCCCCGCCCACCTCCCATTCTGCTCTCTCTCTCTCTCCCTCTCTCTCTCTCTCTCTCTTCTCCTGTCCCTGGAGTCCAGTCTTCCCCCCCCCCTCCTTTTATGATCCCTTTCCCTAATTTAAAAAAACAAAAACAAAAACCCTTCTGCTTGAACCCTGTTGCATGGTATCTTTCTCTTGAGCTCTGCTTTTCTTAAATCACAACAGAAATGACCAAATCTTTCAGAGATCACTGCACTAAACACCCATTTCCTTCCTTGTAATTATGTGGGAAATGTTTCAGACTACCCATAGCCTTATCCTCCATCCTCAGAAAAGGTGGTAACTAGGTGTCGCATTAAAAGTCAGCCTTCAGTCCCAGCACTTGGGAGACAGAAGCAGAGGCAGTCAGATCTCTGAGATCGAAGCCAGCCTGATCTACGGAGCAAGTTCCAGGACAGCCAGGGCTACACGGAGAAACCCTATCTTGAAAAACAAACAAGTTTGAGGGGTGTGTATGCGTGCGTGTGTGCGTGTGCAGAGTTCCCACTGGGAATAGGGTTATCATCGCCACCATCGTCATCATAGCAGGCTCAACTGCAGGGAGGAGGAATTGTGGGAAGGGGGTCTGGGTCTGGCTCCTGCTATGCGACCAGGTGCATACCTCCTATCAGCACACTGCCTGGAGTTCTCGCCTGAGCTTTGTGGGACTCTGATGATGGGGGAAGGGCGTGAATAACAGTGATGCCCGGCCACCCCCAGGGTCCCAGCCCTGCTCCTTCCCCTGTACTTCCGTCCCTCTAGACAGGGTCCCCAAAAGGCCCCAAAGCCATACTTGGTGTTTTCGCGAGTCCTCTTGAGAAATGGTTCCCTGTACTAACACAAAAGCCCATACTGTCCGTACCATAGTCAAAGTAGCATGGGCGTGTGTGTGTGTGTGTGTGTGTGTGCGCGTGTGTGTGTGTGTGTGTGTGTGTGTGTGTGTGAGAGAGAGAGAGAGAGAGAGAGAGTGTGTGTGTGAGAGAGAGAGAGAATGCACAGAGAGACAGAGAGAGAATGAATCTCTTGGGTTACGTTATGTCCACAGAAACTTGCCTGTGGACTGTCCCTCCCTTCCCCAGGTCCAGGTCCAGACACAAACACTGTCTCTCCTCCAGGCTCTCCCTGGCGTCTATTTCCAATGCAGCCCCACCCCCACCCCAGCCCCAGCCCCCCAAGGCAGGCCAAGCTAAGTGTTCAGGAGCCTGAGAGGCCTACATCAAGTAGCTGTGCCCTCCCCGTTTCTCAGAACCCCATCCCTGGCCGCCTCCTCTGTCTCCGACTTCTCCCTTCCAAGCTGCCCAGCCATGTCCAGCACCAGGACTCAGAGTGCTCATCTCCCTGCAGCTTCAGAACACTCAGAACTATGGGGATGGACCCTGTGTGGTGCCCCTGCCCCAGACCATGTGGACACACCTGTAGAAGGGACAGCGCACAGCCAGCACACCGTCAGCCTGCCTCGATCCCCTCCAGCACGGGACATTGCCAGCCAGTTCCCTGATGGTCTCCATTGTCTTCCGCTCACAAGGGTGAGCCTCCACCCTGCAGTCTGTGACAGAAGACAGTCCCCTCCTAGTAAGATGAGGGATGCTGCTTGCATCCCTGATCCTCCAGAGTGGCTGCTGTGGGGTTCTATTCCACCCCTCACTTGGGGCAGATCACCCAAGGGGGCAGTTTCCGGATTTCCTCTGGCCAGGGCTCTACATGGAGCACGCACACAAATATTTTCTAATGGCAGGTGTGTCACTTTACTTCTGGATGGGAGGGATAAGCCCCAAACCTCCCTGAGTTCCTCCACCAGCCAAGGCAGGGAGGATGGACTTGGTTCTCTCTCCCCAGCAGGGGAGAGGGCCTGACCAAGTCTGACCTTAAACTTGCTTCATAGACACAAGCTGAGAACTCTAGCTGGGAAACCCACAAGGCCATCAAAGGAAAACAGAGCAGAGTGCCCAGGACAGGGCCTGCCTGTCTCTCTCACCAGCCCTCCCTGGGAGGTCCTTGCCTCAGGAGCCCTGTTCAGCCCACACCCTAGAGCTCATTAGGTTCAAGGTCATTCCCCTGCAGGCTGGCGGGTCCTACCTGGATCAGCAGAGGTGCAGAGTGCTGAGCGGCTCAGGGTGCTGAGCAGGCCGTTGGTGGCATCCTCTACTTGCTCAGCCAACAGCACATGCTCCTGCTTTGGCTCACTGGCCAGTGTGAGCAGCTCGTCCCACCTGGGGGGAATCCAACAGCTGATGCCGCATCCTCTCTCCTCCTCCCTACCTAACTCCTGGACCATAGCACCAACCCCCTGACCCAGAGGTCACTTCCTAGCCACCACATCTGTCCAGGTGAGACGGAAGCAAACTCGGAAAGTTCTTAAGCCCAGCTATGGGCCGCCCTGTGCTAAAATACCTCATCCTCAGACCAATAAGCTCATATCCAAGACACAGAGCTGAGGGATTCAACTGACTTCTCTGAGTCATAGCTAGTAAGCAGAACTCTGTAGCCATAGGACATCTTTGCATGGTTGCACACACAAACGTATACATGCACACATTTCTAATATTTTCTTTTGTCATACATTCCTCTCTATTTTTTTAAAGTTAAATATTAATTGCTCAAAACCAACCAGAAAGCTGGCAGAAGTGATACAGAGAACACATGAGAACAGCCAATGACGGAACCGAGATACATCAGACACGGGAGCCCGAGGCCAGCCACGGCCAGTCACGTGTGGCTGCAGAGCGTGCAGCTCGCCCTCAGTGCCCAGGACAAAATGGTATTTGGGATGACCCTAGGTCATGAAGAAGAGATAGCACTGAGAATCTTTTAGTAATAAGGTAAATGTTAATTTCATTTTTGTGTGTTTAAGAGCCAGTGACAGGCTCAGCAGGTGTGGGTGGGTAAGGGCACCCGTGCCAAGCCTGATGACCCGAGTTTGATCCCTGGGCCCCGCGTGCTGGACGGGGAGAACTGATCTCCACAAGCGTGCCCAGCCCCCAACATAAAGACACAAATACCTTAAAAACCAGCAAAGACGAGGCCATCTGTGATGTGAAGAGAAGAATCCCACTATCGAAACTCAGCCAAACAGAACCAGACAGTCACGGCGAACCCCGCTTCTGGTGCCAAACTCTCCATTCCTACTGGAATCCATGGAGGCCAAACTTTCCACCCAGTACCCGGTTACCCGTGGCACACAGAAGGGAGCTTCTCGGATGTGGCCTTCCTGTCCCCCGCTCCTCTGTCTGGCCCAACAACAGACTTTCTCCAAAGCTCAAAGAGGACTTGTGGTGTGTGTGTGTGTGTGTGTGTGTGTGTATGTGTGTGTAGTAAGTGTATGTGGGTGGGCTGTGTGGGGTGTTTATATGTGTGTGGTGTGTATGTACATGTAATGTACATATGTGTAGTGTGCGTATGTGGGTTGTGCGTGTGTGGTGTGTGGGAGTGTATTGTGTTGTGTGTGGTATGTATAAGTGTGATGTGGAGGATGAAGAGGTGTGATTTGTGCATGTGGTGTGGTGTGGTGTGTTTGTGTGTGGTGTGTGTACAGTTTGTGTGTATGTGGTGTGGTGTGTGTACAGTGTTGTGGTGTGTATGTGTGGTGTGTGTGTGGTATGGTGTGTGTGCATGTGTGGTATGGTGTGTGTGTGCATGTGTGGTGTGTGTATAGTGTGTGTATTGTGTGGTGTGGTGTGTGTGTGGTATGTGAATGTGGTGTGGTGTGTATGTACATGTGATGTACATATGTGTAGATGTGTGGTATGTGTACAGAGTGTGAGTATGTGGTGTAGTGTGTGTACAGTGTTGTGGTGTGTATGTGTGTTGTGTGTGTGTTGTGTGGTGTGATTGTGTATGGTGTGTGTACAGTGTTGTGGTGTGTATTCAGTGTTGTGGTGTGTGTACAGTGTTGTGGTGTGTATGTGTGGTGTGGTGTGTTTGTGTGGTGTGTGTGTGTGTTGTGTGGTGTGTTTGTGTTGTGTGGTGTGTTTGTGTGTGGTGTGTGTACAGTGTTGTGGTGTGTGAACAGTGTTGTGGTGTGTGTGTGTGAGTGTACAGGCAGAAGGCAGGTTAGGTGTCTGATTCTATCACTGCCCATTGTGCTCTCATAGACATCGGCTCTCGGGGACGCTGGGGCTTCCTGAGCTGGTGCTTGGCTGATGGCCAGCAGCTCGGCCGATTCTTCCGTCACTGCCGCCATAGCTCTGGGGTTTCAGGTTCAGGTAGCTAAGAATCCAAACTCAGTCCCTCAGCTTTGCACACACGCTTATCCTGTGAGCCACTGCCCGGCACCTACAGCAGAGTCCTCACGGCCTCCCTGATCTGCTCTGTCTACATTTTTCTTGCAATTCAGCAGCTTACTTGGCTCCTACCCACAGCCACTGCCTCTGGCCTTTGCTAACACCTGACTGCCTTACTTAAAAACAAAAATTCCTCAAAGCAGCCTTGGCAGCCTTCTACCAAAGCTATTATCCGTGTTCCCCATCAGTCCTTACCCACTATTTCCACCTGAAGTCACATTTCCTACACATCCACTCATTCCCTCATTGTCTCTTTTCCCACGAGACGGCATCTATATGGGCTCTGTTCTAAGAACCCATACTAGTGTCAGCATGAGGAGGAAACCTATTCTAACAGAGAATTTCTAAGTGTAAGCATGGTGCCCATCCCCAAGTCATTTCACTAAACCCACAATTTGAGACCCAAGGATGAAGGCATGCATCCATTTTTAAGGTTGAGAGCCCGGGGCCATGCGGCCCTCTCCTCCAGGAAGGCAAGTTTGCCAACACCTGGACGAGGGTGGTTGGAGGCGTAGTGGACCTCTCAGACTCCCCACCCATGTGCCTCATGCTGATCAGAACCGGATTAGCAGAAGCTGGAGATGGTCCCCACCCCCTCGTGTTAAGACGTGAAGTTGTAGGTCGGGATGCCGCCTATGACCCCAGCTCCTAACCCTAACCTTCTCAGGCTTAGAGGACGGCCGAGAGCACTTGAGAGATGTGTGGTGGACAGGGTGGAGCTGAGCAGACCGAGGCCCATGGCTCTGACCCGCCACAGGGGCTGCTGAGGGGAAATCCATTGATTTCCACTTTTGTCAAGTGAGTTTGAGTTGACTTCGGATGCTTACAACCAATGTTCAGCTGAGAGCAGAGGGACACTCAGAAACCCAGTGCTTTTGAAGGTTGGGACGAGCTGTGCAATGCAGCCCGAACCAGCAAAGCAAATTAGAGACACACAAAGAGCAGTCGGTTCCCCCAGACGCCCAATCGTGCTGCTGCAGTGAAGGTCTGGAAGACCTCTGGCCATGCTGACCCCACTGCGTGATGGCTGGCGCAGACTCACTGGGGCGCTTACCTGGGGAAGCGGACCCCAACGGCAAACACAATGATGCCGCTTTCTCTCAGCTGCTTAGCCGGTAGAGCCACGGGCCCCTGGGACTTGCCGTCTGTGATGATGATAAGAAGCTGGGGCACCTCACCGTCTCTGCCTCCGGGGAACCCTCTGCGCAGGCGTTTCAGAGCAAGGCCTGTCTCTGTGCGTCCACCTCTGAAGACGGGAGACAGAAGAAGTGTGTGAGGGAAGTTGGGAAGAGAGGCCAGAGGCAAATGGGTCCCTGTCAGTAGGGAAGAGCGGTAACTCCTGGCAAAGGTTCAAAGGCACTTCACCATCCAAACCAAAACAGACTCACCAAGCCCGCAGCCGGCTCTGGCCAGAACAGTTAATCCATTACAAAGGCCATCATTCATCACTCTGTGATACACATGGATGGAGGAGGTTTGTACACACACACACACACACACACACACACAACGCATGTACAGATATATGCAGTATATCTGATCTGCAGGCAATGTCTGCCTCCATCTCAGTCCTGAGAGGAGTCTGCTGCTATTGTGTCCAAACATCCAACCAATTGGAAACATGGATACAGCCTGCCTGACCTGATCTTTCGCTTGCTTGCTCTCAGTGTGTGTGCGTGCATGTGTGTGCGTGTGTGTGTGTGTGTGTGTGTGTGTGTGTGTGAGAGAGAGAGAGAGAGAGAGAGAGAGAGAGAGAGAGAGAGAGAGAGAGAGAGGTTTAACACTAAAGAAAGCTGTGCCCCATGCAGATCTGCCATGGGTTCTCACCCAGGCACCCCTCCCAGCCGCCTCTGCTCCCAGTGGCTACTTGCTCATTTTAGTTAAGGCCCGCCATCCCGAATCTGCAGCGAGATGGAAAAAGAGCATGTGTAATATGCCTGGGGAGTATTTACGGGCAAGTCCCAGAATATCCTCACTTTTACTGCTTTCATCTTCCGCAGGCTCTCAATGGGCAATTCTCTCCGAGAAGGGCCATTGCATTAATGAAGCGTGACATGAACTAACTCTTAGATGAAGACACATAGCAGTAACACCATCAATTTAGAAGTCATCTCTTTAACCATTAATCTGTACAGTGGTCTATTATAAAACGATGGAGAACAGGGAGCGGGGTATGAGTCCACCATGGAAATAACCCAGGGCCAGGTTGTTAAAGAGAGTATTTGTGCAGGAGACATCTCAGGGGTTCAGAGGAGGAATCTATGTGGGTGGAGCTGTCAGGAAACAGGCTGCACCAAGGAAAGATCATCAGAATGGAGTCTTGCTAACTAGTTAAGATGGTGTCTGGCCTGAGAAAGCAGAAATAGGGTATGTGCTAGGCCGAAGGGACAGAGCTAGACCAGCAACGGGCTTAGCAGCGGGAACTCCAGTGTCATGGAACCCCAAAGCTTGTCCAGATTTCTCACTTACGCGAGCTCTGAGCTCTTTACAGTAATTCCCTCTGTTCAGCTTCACTGAGTTAATAAATGTCAGCAACACTCCCAGAACCAGTGGCCCTCACTGCACTGGATAAAAGTTAAACGGTAAAGATGCCAGGAGACTTTGGATCCCCACGACTGCTAGTTTACCAGAGCAGAGTGGTCTTCAGGCCATCTTCCACATAGATGGAATTACAGTGCTAACATTCCTGTTTCTCAATGTAATCCTTACAGCTAATTGTTCAGAAATATAAATACATATGTATATGTTTCAATAGTCTTCTCATTTAATGGGAAGAAGAGACCTTGATTCATAGACTTCTAGGGATAACTGTTAACATTTACTGACATTTACCATGCCCCAGGCATTGTGCTAAACTTATTTACATATGAAAACATAGAGACACATACAGATACACAGCTCGTGGGTTTAGTGTACACTCTTGTGTACTTTCATCACAGCTTCCTGAGACTGGGGAGGGGGATCTTGTTGAAAGTTAAAGAGCTCAAGATGAGTAGAGACTAGATTTGAACCCTGAGCCCTCTGCTTCTGGAACCCAAGTTCTTTTTTTGTGTTTTTGTATTTTTTTTTTTCAAAACAGGGTTTCTCTTTATAACAGTCCTGGAACGTGTAGACCAGGCTGGCCTCAAACTCAGAGATCCACCTGCTTCTGCCTCCAGAGTGCTGGGATAAAGGTGAACACCTCCATCGCCTGGGCCCAGGGTCAATCCACCTGTTCCTCACCTACCTGGTAGAGGACCAGAACTGGAGTTTAAACCCATTTGAGCTCATTGAAGCCAATGCTCTTTCCTCTCTACGGGTCAGCAATGTGCAGAGAAACAGATCCTGCTGCCCATTTCCTAGTCTTACTGGAAAAGAGACATTCCTGTTCATTGTACCGCATGGCCTGCAGGCTTTTACTGGAAAATGTCTCAACTCTTTTCTGTGTGCTCTGTCTAAATACTCATAAAACTCTCCCAACACCAAGCTTCCCGGTGACCAAGGAGTGGCACCTTCACGTCCTCTCCTGCCTGGTTCCTGGCTGGGCTCCGGAGGCTCCTGACTGCAGCCCTGACTCTGTATTTCTCAGTCAGGCCCTGCTCTTACTCTAGAGCATCTCTTGCCTCCAGGCACATCATTGCTGCTCTTCCCACAAGCTCGAGACTTAAGGACGGAAAGAGGAGGCACTTGTCCTCTGTGATCCTGTTCCCACTTCTCACGCAGGCTGCCCTGGACACCCCAGAGTGACATTGTTCCTTTCCCTTTGCCACGGCGGGGCAAGCCGTGGGTTCAATCCAGATTTTCATTAAAGTCTAAGGCCTGGAAGTCAGACTCTCAAACCCATGTTTTCTGACTTGGTCTAGACCTGCCTTGTCCTTGTCACCAGCCTGTGGCTAGAAAAGCTAATTATTCACCATGACCCATGATGGGTCATGGTGTCCACCCTCTTCCAGCACACAGGCACCATGCTGGTGACCCTATTCTTTCCATAACCCACTGACCTAGCCCAGGTTGACTTTCCTGCTTGCTTCCCACCAAGGCCAGGCAAGTCTCGCAGTGACTCTGGCCTCTGAGGCATGGGAAGAAACTCTTACCATCCCACTGACCATTTCCATCTCTGAATCTGTGCTCAGCCCGGCAGCTGGCTCCACACAAGGTGGCCAGAGGCTAAGGTGCCAAGATCCCCCTGAAGTCACCATGGTACCAAGCTAAATGGAGAGCCAAGGGTCTGCAGTAGGTTGCTTTCCTGAGCGGAGGCTAGGTTTGCTCTGTGGCTAGCAGTTAAGTGTTTGCTATCAGTGTAAGTGCAGGGACTCGAGTTAAAGGAGCTCAAATATTTTTTCTATAAAGGCTACAGCCAGGTGAACTTTGATAAATGACCTAGTCTGAGTCCAGTGTCCTTCCACGCTAGAGTAGGAAGAAAGTGTCATGTCTGAGGATAAAATGGCTCCAGCTCCATCTACACCTAGATGAGTGTGAGCGACACTGGAGTCGGTGATCACCCACACACAGGCCACTGTAGGAAGCTGTGTGAGTGACACTGGAGTTGGTGATCACCCACAGGCCACTGTAGGAAGCTGAACTTGAAGATGAATCTCAAGTCCTAGCAGACGTAAAAATTGCTTAAAGATGTTGATTCTCAGACCCTGTAGTCCCCATAAGGTCAGACTGTGTTACCCTGGGCTAGAAAAGTCACATTCTAAAGCAGTCCTACCTTCTCTCATGATTACAATTCAACAGAAGTAAGCTACCTTAGGACAGACTCTGAAAGATACCAATCACATGAGAAAACTCACTTCAGGTGCATCCATGCATAGGTTCATGCACTATGTATGTAGATGAACACATGCATACATTCATGCACTGGGAACACATGCATACATTTATAACTGTGTATGTAGATGAGCATGCGAACAGCTCTCCACAGTCTTAAAGCACCTTAGTAACAGAAGGGGACCATAGTCTTCAGGAAGTAAAATGGAAGGCTTGGAGGAGTGTGGTGAACCTCCCAAGCTGAGCTGGTACCTTGTGTCCCGCCATAACCTCATGTGCTTCACTGGAACGGCCGTCATTAACTCTTCCAGGTAACGCACAACCACATGCAATAGCAATTTTTAAAAGTTGGATGCCATCATGTAACAATAAGGGGCAGCCTGGAGAGTTACTCATTATGCAGAGCTGGGTGGGAGGTGAGTTGGACCAAACCCTTCACAGAGCAGTTTACAGTGCAGCTGCTTCTCCAGGTGTTGGTGGCACACGCCTTGAATCCCAGCACTCAGGGACGCAGAGGCAGGCGGAGCTCTGAGTTCAGGTAGAGTTCTGGGCCAGTCTAGACTACACAGTGAGACCCCGTTTCAAAAGGAGTGGGGAGGAAGGAAAGAGGGGAAGCAAGAAGAAGGAAGGAAAAGAGAAGGAAGGAAAGAGGACGAGAGAAGGAAGGAAGCAAGCAAGCAAGGAAGGAAGGAAGGAAGCAAGCAAGCAAGCAAGGAAGCAAGCAAGCAAGCAGTTAGCTTTAGTGTGATCACAGCACTATGCCATTCTACTTACTTGAAAACTATCCTCTTGATGTTTGCCTTCACTTCCTGTCGGGTTGAAAAGGAGTCCAACGGGAATTCCAGATGAGGAGTGGAGCCAAACTGCAAGGCTCCCACTCTGACCTGAAGGAGGAGACAGGGCCAGAGGCCCAGAGATTCAGATAAATCGTGAACATTCCAAAGAAGAAAGCCTGCCGTCTGTCTCCTGGCCACGCAACAAATCCTGGGCGGGAACTCCGACCGGCTGGAGAATCTGGGAGGGCATGGTCGGATATGCCTGTGTGCTGCTATGACATTCAATCTTCTACCCCGGCTGAGCGGCAAGCCACCTTATGCCAAGCTATGCTCCCACCGGCCAGTGCTTCCTGGCTTGGCTTGGGTGCCACTGTGTGCAAACTCATGCACTATTCCATTTGATCCACAGCGGCCCAGTTAATGCCCACATGACCGAAGACAACTAAAATACCCAGCTGACACTGTCTGAGGCTTCTTTGGACTCACAAGGAAAGGAAGCCTGGGCCATTCGATTCCTGGTCTCTGGGACTCTCTAAAGCACTGTCATACGCTTGCCTCCTCAGGAGTAGGTGCAGACTGGCAGCAAAATGCTTTCAACCCCACCCAAAGCTTCCTCAGAAACCACTGAGTAACCATCAATTCCCCGATGACCTGCTTCTGCCAGGTCTCTAGACCAGAGAGTCAATGGGCTCCTAAGAACGGAACACGCAATAGCGGCGCACACGGTTCTCTGCAGTGAGGGACTTATAGACCTGGAAACAGACAGATTCTGCTTCCTCACTGAGGAGGCCACAGAGGAAATCCCCACATGTGCCTCACAAGGCTGGAGCTGGGGCACTGAGCACTGTAATACTCTGTGTTCCCTCTTCAGGACCCAACCAGCTCCTAACCCTCAGTTCACCAAACTCCGGAGGTGGCCGTTCTCAGTTCAGTCTCTGAGCTAAGGCCAATTCTGGCAAGGATTTCAAATGGGAAAAAACACTACTTGAGCCCCCAGTGCAATCCCTTAGCAGGCCCAGGGCTTGGAAGACAATGTATCAATGCCCTTGGTTCACCTAGCTGGCTTCCCACGACAGGAAGCTGTCCTAGCTAAAAGCAGGAAGACATTAAGTCTTGGGTGGCCATTGGGGAGGCAGGCACTATGAGTCAAGTCAGAGCAGGGGGTGCTTGAGAAGTCTAGCAGAAGGAAGCCTGCTGCCTTTTCCCTGGAACTAAATCTCAAGCCAGTGGAGAAGACTGTCTGCTCAGCACGACACTGTGACAGCTGGAAAAACTCCCCGGCCAGGGACACGGGGGAGATGCAAATGCATTCAAGCTCCAAGGCTAAGTGTCCTACCCAGGAAGAACTCTTGGGAGATGTCCCTTGTTTGCTGAGAACTAAAACCCAGTCTTGAATCTTTTAAACACTGTAAAGGCTGATAAATCTAGGTGCTTGGAACAAACGTCAGGGTAAAACACACTTTCACACAGTCAAAGGTAAAGATGAAACAGAAAGCTAATTTGCAGCCCATGGAGGCAAGGGTTGGCTTCCTCCATGTGTAAAAGAACAACAATCCAGCAGAAAGCCGGCCAAAGACGGGAGCAAAGATCAAAGAAGGGGAAACAAATGGTTCTTTAATGGCAGGACATTTGGTCTTAGGAAAACAATACCATTTTCCCATCAGCTTAGTAAAAAACAAAAACAACGACAAAAAAAAAAAAAAAAAAAAAAAAAAAAAAAAAAAAAAAACAGATGCAAAGTCTGGTCCCTGCCATTGTGTGTAGGAACATGAAGTGGTGTCAGATTTACGGAGGGCAACGTGCCAGTATGTATTAACAGCTAAACATGTGTATGGCCGCTGGAGAGATCTTAGAGATAGTCTTCCACAAAGTGAAATGAGGCATTCACAAGATGGCAGTATATTTGTAATAGCAACAGTCCATCAATAGGGCTGGCTAATTAGTCCTGGTAAATCCTCCTGGTGGGCTAATTATCTGTAATATCTGCATATACACAGAGAGATGATGAGATTGCCCAGATAACAAGATGTAAAAAGACAAGAGACCGATGAAAGTGATGTGTAGACTGCGCTCACTTTTGTAGAAAAGGAGAAAACGGGCCCACATCTTGCTGTTGCCTGGACCTGCACCGGGTGATCGGCAGGGCTACTCAGAACAGGTCGGGGATCAAGAGGTCAAACACGCAGGGGGACCCGGTGACCAGAGAAGGTGGGGTGTCTGTGAATGGGAAACCAGGAGTGTTCGGGTTCAGATTTTCTCCTCTTTTCTGCCTGCACTGCCTCCTTTTTATTGAACCATGTAAAGGGTTATTTGGTTCAAGGGGTGGGAGGGATTCTCTGGAGACCAACAGCTGGCCGCTAGCGAGGATTAAGCAGGAAGGACACAGCTTCAAATCAAAGCACACAGGAAACAGCCCCAGCCAGTAGTTAAGGCATTTCACTTAATTGGTGCTTTGGGAGCACAAGTGGCCTTTTATCTTCCGTTTACTGTGTACACAGAAGCAAACCCGCCCAGGTCTCTCTCTCCCCCGGCACAAGGCCATTAAAGCAGGAAGAGGAGTGTCTGAGTTTAAGTGTTCAGACTTCCAATACCTCAACTCCACCTAAACAACAGAGCATCCATAGTGCCAACTTAAAGCTGCTTGGAAATCAGTCCTAAAACTAAAGGGATCAAAATAAGTGGCCAATCAAACACAACAAACAAAAGACAGAAAGCCTGAAGCCACATAAGCAAGTCTCTACAGAGTGCCTGCGGTCTGCAGTCAACACACTGGCTCACCCAGACAGACACCACTTCTCTGCTCCTCACGGCGTGCATGTGTGTGCGCGTGTGTACACGCATGCGTGCATGTGTGCGCTTGTGTACTTGCATGTGTGAGAGAATGAGGCCAGAGGTCAATCTGGGCTGGTGCTGTTTCTCCATGTTTTCAAACAGGAGCTTTTGCTGGGGCCTGGGGGTCAATCAGGCTAGCGTGGCTGGCTCAAGTCTATCCCCCCAGTTCCGGGGTGACAAGGTGTGGGTGTGTGGAGAATAGATCCATCACCAGTGCTCCCTCCCCAGCCCCTGCTTCCCGGTGTTGTGAAGATGGAGGTTTCTGTCCCACCTGGTCCCATGGCCACTTTGTTTGCTCCAGTAAAACCACGCAGATGCTACGGTAATTATAAAACTGTTGGCTGGTGGCTAGGGCTTCTTATTGGCTAGCTCTGTCTTAATTACTAGCCCATGACTACTAATCTATGTATTCCTACAAGGCCTTATCTTACGGGAGCACACTTGGCCTCTCTCCCCCACATTCTCCTAGTCCCGCCTATCTTCCTGCCTCTACTGGCCAATCAGTGTTTTATTCATCAGCTAATAAGAGAAACATATACAGAAAGACCTCTGCCATCAGTTTTCCCGAGAGAGAGTCTTCTTAGGTTAAGCCTGCATGGCTCTCCCCAGCATCCGTGGCTTACTGTCTTACGATGGAGCCATTCTACACTTTCTCATGAGCCGGTCTTCTTATACAAAAGCTCCCATGTTCCTCGCTGCCCTGGCTGTCTGTTACAGGCCCTGCCCCAGCATTCCGTGCCACATTTCTACACCACGGTTCGAACCTGAAGTCTGTATTTCAGGTTCCGGTTTGACCCCTCAGCTCGTGGTGCTACTTTGAAGGCTGCAGAGCCTCGAGAAGGGGGTGCTGGCTGGTGGGAGTGGGAATGGGTCACGCAGGCAGGGCCTCTCAAACATTCAGTTTGCTCTCTCGCCTCTCTGGTCTGCACCATGGAAATAGCCACACAGCCTCATGCTTTCATGACCAGAGAGGCAGCCTGGCATTCCCCACCACGATGGACTAAAAGCTCCTGAATGCATGCGCACATAAACCTTCTCCCTTTCAGTCACAATAACATAGAAATAGTTACAACACACGCAGTGATACTTAAGTCCCCCTGGGCTGTAAAGATTGCCCTCCTGACGACATCGGCCCAAGGGGTGCTGGCTTGTTTTTCTTACTCTGTTTCACGCCATTCCATACCCCCATCCCCTCCACAGCCACAGACTGCCACACTGCTGGCTGTCAATTGAGGGTGTGGCACCGAGTGTCATTACATCATTCTAGCCCAGAGGCTGCCATCTGGGAGAGACAGATGGACGAGCTGAGCAAGTCCTAGGCTAATAATCAAGCTCCCTACTTCTTCTACACGTAACCCCGAGCTTGCTCTGTGACCCTCTGGCCATCGTTTAATACCATGCAGAGCATGCTATGAAGAATGCACAGATCAAGCCAGGCAGTGGTGGCGCACACCTTTAATCCCAGCACTCGGGAGGCAGAGGCAGGAGGATCTCTAAGTTTGAGGCCAGTTGGCTCTACGGAGTGAGTTCCAGGACAGCCAGGACTACACAGAGAATCCCTGTCCTAAAAAACCAAGAAGAAACAGGAAGAGCGAGCGCACATGTCAGGGCCAGTGAGCTGCTCCGGGGGTACAGATGCTTGCTGTGGGACCTGACGGCCTGAGTTTGAGCCCCAGGAATCACAGGCCGAAGGAGAAAACTTGTTCCCAATAGCTGTCCCCTGACCCACACACTACACACAGTAAATGCAAAGCTGTCCTCTGACCCACACACTACACACAGTAAATGCAAAGCTGTCCCCTCATCCCATGTGTGCACACATAATGTAAAAACACTAAGGACTACACATATCATATTTCTCCTCCCCCACCCTCAGGGTCTCTAGGACACATCAGGCTGACGTCATGACGAACCAAGTTTGCCACTTCCTCCAGGAGTCTGCCCTGGTGGGGGGTCATTTTGAAAGCAGCGTTTCGCCTGGGGGAAGGTGGAGGCCCAGCAGCTCTCTGCCCCAGCCCCTTTAGGCTGATACTCTGTTGATACCACATTCGAACCTCCAGACTGCTCCTGTACAGACTGGATGGATGGTATCTCTAGTGTCAGAGGCCAGGCCTGACTGCCTCCACCCCAGGGCAATGTGCGCACACCTGTAAATGACGCCCCTTCTCCAGACAACCTGGCTCGCCCTCTTTACAAGTCTTGCTCATTGCAGAATCTCCAGTTTTTATAGGATTAAGCCAGGAATGTTGCCTTGGAAAGTCACTTCTGTTCTCACACTCTGACTAGCCTCCAATTCAAATAATTATGGCTTTCCTAAACAATTTACCCGGCCTTTCATTTCATTTTTGGGTGGGTTTACATGGCCGGAAATCCAGAAAGCATTTCTATTTGGCACCCGGCTATCTTTCTGGACTTGAACCCTCCCTCATTCATAATTAAGGATGAACTGGAACCTTAGTGGGTTCTTACCTGTCGCCCACCAATGCATTTCAGATTGCCCGAAATCTCTTATGGTGACAAATAACCCTGGAAACAATAACTGCATGGGTGGGAGGTACTCAGGAGTGGACTGTTCCATCCGAGGCCCCAAGCCCCTTCCCTGTGTCGGAGAAGCTGGCATGCCCCGACGGGAGTGGAAGCTTTGACATTCCTATGCTTTTGGAGCATGGGACCAACATTCATTTCTTAAAGGCTTGCCCACGGAACGTTTCACCAAGACCCTGAGTGCTTCCGTTCAGCTGGGGAGAGAGGACAGATACCGGGTTGGAGATCGGATGCTGAGCCAGGGAAGCTGGGTTACGTGGTACACAGCTGAGGGCCATTTGTGGTCTCTTTCTGAGGGCTGTGCTCATTAATCATCGTGCTGCTGCTGGGTGATTCAGAATTGTCCCTTTTAGAAACAAGAGCCACAGTTACCCTACTCTGCAATTTGTGGCACTTGAACCCAGGAAGGACATAACATGAAGGTGCTCTTTGGACTTGATCAGACGGGAGTAGTAGATATTTTCGGATGAGCATCCCTTTTCTGAGGAGCCATGGATGCAATTTTAATTGTTGACGGGAGACCTCCATTGCCTTAACCCACCCCGACAACAGACCACCCACTGAGTATCCTCACACTTAGTTAAAATGCTTTAAAGGCAGTCTCTCTGTAGATAGAAGCTGAAGCCATGTTCTTTCCTCCCCAGCCTGGGAAGGGTTGTCATAGGACTTACGTCATTGCTGCCCTCCCTCTCCTGTGAGCTCTGCCTGACCCACAGGGAAAGAGGTTTACTTTCAGACTGGCTGGAACTAGCTGAAAGAACAATGCAGATCATCTTCGGTGTGTGCTAGGAGGACGCTAAACAACCAAAGCAAGCAAAATTGAGAACAAGAAGGGGTCCCTTACCTGCCTTGTCTGAGCCCCACGATCACAGCTTCAATCCCACCCCATTCCGATTTGCCCCTTAGTCCCCTGCGTCACACAGACAATCGATCCTTTCTTCTGCTTCAAGCAGAGTCTGCCACTTGAAACCAAGCACAGCAGACAAGACACGTGTGCACTCACCCTCCCAGGGCTGATGTCCAGAGCATCACAGACAGCGACGGCAAAGCGCTTGGACCTCTCGAAGCTCCCTTTCCCGATGCTGTGAGAGCCGTCTAACAGAAACAGGATGTCAGCTGCCTCAGAGCACCACATCACTGGAGACAGAGCAGGTGGAGGGGTCATACCAGATCACAGGAGACGCTCCCGTGTTCCAGAGACTGTGATGTGAGGGCTTGCTTGTGAACACGTCTTCTGCCATATTACGGGAGTCCTGTGATGAGGGTCTTCTGGGTACTGACATGTGAGCAGAGATCATGCCTTTTTCTACTTCAGGCCTGCTTGAGGCGTGTCTTAGTGTGTGTTTGTGGGGGTGGGGGTGGGGGTGTAATAAAACACCATGACCAAGAGTGGCGTGGGGAGGAAAGGGTTTATCTGACCTATACTTCCATATCACGCTCATCGCCATCACGGGAGGCAGTCAGCACAGGAACTCAGGCAGGGCAGGGAGCTGGACACGGGAGGTGATGCAGAGGCCGTGGAGGGTGCTGCTTGCTGGCTGGCTAACCCTGCTTCCTTATAGAACCCAGGACCGCCAGCCCAGAGATGGCGTCACTAACGATTGTCCGGGCCCTCTCAAATCACTGATTAAGAAAATGGCCTACAGGCTTGCTTACAGCCTGATCTTTTGGAGGCATTTTCTCGATTCAGCCCACCTCCTGCACCCAGATGACTACACCTTGTGTCAAGTTGACGTAAAACCATCCAGCTCGAGACACATCTGACATGCCGTCTATTTAACGCTTTCAGCTCCCAGACTATTTCATTTCTTTGCGTGTCTTGAGATATCCTGTACCCTGTGTTCGGTGAGCCAAACTTACGTTTGCTGGCCACTGCAATCTTCCCAATGGTCTCCCTGCTCACATGGACTTCCTGAAGAGGGATGGACGGGGACACTGGAAGAGAAAAAAAGACAGAAGCAGTCATGAGGTGGCAGGATAGGGGTGTCTGTATCTCTACACTATGTGACCTAAATGAACAGGAAACAAAGCAGAAAAGTCCACCATTCCCCTCTCAAAAATCACCAGAGGGGTGTGGCTGGGCTTTGACTCGGTGGCAGCACACGGGATCATACGTGATGCCCTGGGTTTAGCATTCTGTTCCCACCCCCAAGTCCCAAGTCCCACGGTTATTTGGATACACGGAGAGCATTCAAATCTCTCTCCACATCTATGACATCACTTTGTTTATATTTGAGTAGCTTGTGGGGGGAAAGTTTTTGTTGTTTTTAACACAGATGGCTATGGGGAAGGCTATGATCCTGAGGATTTCTGTCCTTGATCGTAACTGTCCACCCTCTTGGGTGCAGCTCTTTGCCGTGGGTCCAGGCACATTCTCAATCTGTTGCAGGGTTTAAAAAAAAATATGTAACTGTCATAAGACCTAAAATTCATAGACGAGACAAATCCACAGAAAAGTGTGGCGGTATCTTTCTTGCACAAATAAAGCCTGTCTGGGGGTCAGAGAATGGAGCTTGCCACTAGCTAAGCACAGAGGTCTGGACAGACAGGCAGGAAGTGAGGCTTTTTGTTATTTAGACAAGAAACCCCTTTTACATCGGCGCCCCATGTTGGGCACCATTTTGAAGAGCTTGAGTTTTCTGGCTCATTTGCCGCTGCTGCTTCAACCCCACATGAACACACAGAGACTTATATTAGAAGCTTGGGCTTCTCATTGGCTAGCTGTCTTAATTATTAACCCATAACTACTAATCTAAGTGTTTCCACGTGGTCTCATCTCACCGGAGAAGGGTCCAGACCTCTTACCGCCAGGGCAAATGTTCAAAAGGGATACCTGAATGCTTTATACTTGCAAACACATGTCTAAGCTTAAAATCCAACTCTAATTGAGAAAGCATCCCATTGGGAATTTTCCCCACAATGGTGACGCTGTAAACTAATAAAAAGTGTTCTAGAAAACGATTTGGCCACGTGAAGTAGGGATCAAAACTGGTTCTGTCCTTCCACCCTGAGTAACTGAGAACAAATCAGGGGCAAACAGTGGTAGTGAGAGGGAAACGTGGGGTGGCGCCCTCTCCTCCAACGCTCTTTGTGTTAGGGAAGGGCCAAAGGCAGATTACAAACACACACGTGAAAACGTTCATATATTTACAATGTAGTTAACATGATCAAGAGCTGAAAGGCTTAAGAGTAGCGTGCCCGCCGATGAGTTTCTCGTGCTCTTTCGTATTCAGGTAAATCCTAACAGGTTATGAGCAGTTAGAGATAATTTATAAAGACTCAGGGGCTGAGGGGGCAACAGCTCAGTGGTAGAAGGCTTGCGCGCCAGCCACGAGGCTGTGAGGTCAATCTCTGGTTCCCCAAAATAAGAAAGGTGGGATACCACACCAGCGGGGCTCAGGACGGTTGTATGATGACTTGAGCCAAAAGCAGTGCGGGAAGACACCAGGGAGCTGCTCTGCAAAGCCAGGTCCCCTGCAGCTTCAGAGCGTGGCTTGCAGGAGTTGGCCGGGCAGATATAACACAGCCAGTGGCAGAGCAGGCACAGGGGACAAGCCAGGGACACAGAGCCTGGCAGCAAGTGAACACAGGGGCAGATGAGGTGACAGCGAGGAGCTGTCGGGGTGGGGGGTGAGGGAGCCAGGCGGGAAGGGGGAGTCCCATGGTACCGCAGCCTGAGCCGCTGGGATTACAGCTGCCAGGAAACTGATGGCAGACGGCACTCAGAGCCTCTTGGGCTTGGGAACGGCACCAGCACAGGGTTACTTGGGCAGCCTGCTCACTCAGCACCTGCCAGGCTGGGTCCCTCTGTCTTCCTGCCCCCCTCCATTCACCAGGCTCCCACGAGCACTGCTGGGTTCTGCATTTCCTGTCTGACCAAACAGTGCGCTCCACAGTCCCAAGCCATGGGGTGTCTAGGAAGGGCTTTCTGCTTCACTGCACTAGAGACCATCAGGGGCTGTCTGCGAACTCCTGGAGACTGCTGCAGCTATCCCATAACCCCCCGGGGGCCCTGGAAATTCCCCAGCAAAGGGACCAGCCCTGTCTTCCATACTCTCAGAGCACTACTGTCCACTTGCAGTCCAGACACTAACGTTTCCCGAAATACGTCTGAGTTATTGACAAATGGCCGGGCGGCCAGACTCTTCACGGCCATATAACAGACACTGAAGTTCACTTTGCAGGGTGAGGCCCACCACCAGAGGCCACCCGGGAAGCAAGTCGCTCCGCTCACCGCGGCCCCTGCATCACGTGCTGTGCTGAAGATGCCGAGCAAGCACCAGGGGTCGGCTGAGCCCACCTGTCAGCCTGAGTGGCACTCTCGTGCCTTATGCAAACCGCTCGGCGACGCTACAGAACAGGAATACAGAATAAAGCGATTTCCTTCCGCTGCTTCTAACAGAGTCGGCAGCCTCTTCTAAAGGCAGCCTGCCACGGAGCCAGAGCTCCACTCTCCTGGTGGGTGGGTGGGTGACGTTAATGCACACAATACTGAGAGCCGTGGGTTTAGCCACTCCCTCCCGAGTCCACAGTCCCGCCTCCGGAGAGGACCCAGGCGATGGAGCCAGCTCCAGCCCCTGCCACCGACTTCTGTGTCACCTCTGTTAGCGACAGCACCTCTTAGGATCCCGAGGATCTCATGTGTACAGCGTGCTGCACTGATCATGTGACCAGGTGGGGAAGCTGGCGAGAAATCTCATTTAGGCCTTGCTCCTCGCGATGGCGCCACTAGGCCATCAACACAGCAAGTGAGACAGCGCGCCTCCCTGGCTAGATGGGATGGAGTGGGTTGAGAGGCCTCTATCTCCTGTTCTCAGGGGACACGAGGGAGGTGACTGAGGCTGCCTGCAGATAGCAAATGTCTACTCTCTGAAATGCAGGCCAGGGAGGAGTCGCGGTCTCTGAGGCTTCAGTCTGGCCCCCCCCCCCCCCCCCGCTTGGCTTGCACAACTGTCATCAGTATACCCAGCCCTACTTCCGGGATGATCATCTGCAGACACATGGGGCCCTCCCCACATCTCATTTCATCCTTCCCAGGGGCCAGAACTCAGGGGCAATACAGGAGGCTAAGGAAGGGGACACCCTGGTCTGTCAGTCTACTTCCGGAGATGGGGCCCTCTTCAAGGCATGGAGATTGCACAGTGAGGAGGAATCGGTCTATAGAGTCCTTCCGTGGAAGCCATCAGCGGTCAGAAAGTCAGAGAAGGAAGCTCTGTGTCTGGTCCTCCAGGGCTGAACTGTGAACTGACATAATCTGGGAGCCCAGAAGAGCAGTGCTGGGCGCTAAGCGATGGGTGGGAGTTTACCCAGGTGACGGTGGCAGGATGTGGTGGGGGGGGGGGGAATGGGATCCGGGCAGAGTGGCCACCAGGAGCCAGGACCTCTGTGAAAAGGAGAAAGTGAAGACACTAGCCACAGGGGACTCATAAAGTAGAAAGTCACTTAGGAGCTTTTGGAGGGGCCAGATGTGATCAGATTTGCACACTAAGAGGCCTCTGTGTGGACCCAAGCAGTTTATCAGGAGGCAACCGCAGAAGTCCAAGCAGAATGGGACTAGGCTACCGCACAGTGGAGATGTAGATTTAAGAGACTATAAAGCTAAAATCTGCGGGTGAGGTGCTTGCTGTGCCTGTGTGGGCACTGAGTTCGGATCCCCAGCCCCCACCTATAAGCTGGCGGCAGTGGCGTGTATCTGTAACTCCGGCAGTGGGGGGGGGCACAGGACAATCCCAGGGGCTCACTGGGCAGCCGGCCCAGCTGAAAGGGTGAAGCTGTGGGCTCAGCAGAAGACCCGGCCTCAAAGTGGCAGGGGGACACCAGACATCGACCTCTGGCTTCGGCATTCGCTGGCACAGGCAAGCACACCCTTCTCACACAAATATCCTTCTCAGAAATGAAGTTAAAGTCAGTGGGGTTGCAAAGGAGCCAAACCCTCAAATTTTACAGCCCATCAAAAGACACCTTACCTGTGGAGAAGAGGAGAAGGCAGGCAGTTGGGAGAGACAGAAATGGAGGCATGTTGTCAGACCTAAAGAGCCAGGGAAAGAAAGCAGACGTCAGCTCCAAGTTCTGTGACTGGCCCCAACTCCTCTGCAGACATACCCAGGGAGGGGCAGGACACTAGAAGCCTCTTTCCCAAGCACTCCAACCTTAAGCCACCACCTGGCATTTCCACGTATCACTCCTGCCTCAAATACAGTCAAGGTCTGCACAGCCTTTGGGAGAGAATTTCTGTCCAAAGAGTCCCCATTCTCTGCCCTGCAGGGCCCCAACAGGCCATGTGATCCCTTCTAAAGGATGCCCCCCCCTCCAGTTCTCCAGAATCGAGCGAGGCGAAGCCTGGAACTGACCGCCCTCGTTTTTCCGTATCTTCTACCAAGTCAAGCAACCTCTCCCCAGTTATTGAGATTGTGTGCGGGAGCAGCAGCAAAAAGTCTTCTGTCGCTGTGATGAAGCACCATGAGCGGGAGCAACTTGGGGAGGAAAGGGATTGCTTGGCCCATCACTGAGCGAAGCCAGCAGGGATCTGGAGGCGGGAATTGACAGAGACCAAGCTACTCCCTAGCTTGTTCAGCCTCCTCTTTTATATAACACAGGAAGGACTGCCTGCCTAGGGATGGCCCCACCCACAGTGGGCTGGAGCCTCCTCCATTATCATTAATCAAGAAAATGCCACCACAGGCCAGTCTGGGAGACACTTTCTCAGCTGAGGAGCCTTCTTCCCAGATGACTCTAGCTATGTCGAACTGACAAAAACAAAAACCCACAACTAAAGACAACCCTACACACTCAGTGTTGCCAGAAAAATGTCATCAGGCGAGACCTGGGTGCATCCCAGGAGAAGGGCAGCTGGGGGGGCTGTTGCATGGCTGAGGGGCGGGTATGAGTCCAGATCCTGGGTCTGCCAGCACGGCAGACTCGGGACTCTCTCCCTTACACCTTACTTTGGGGGTGGGGCAGGCCCCCACCCCCGATGGGGGTATGAGGCAGACCGGGGTGAGAGGCACTGTGGGACTGAAGAAACTTCCCAATGCTGTCTGTCCTGATTCTCAGCTTCGGTGTTCTTTCCTGGGTTTGTAGCTTCCAACCCTGAGCATGTGCAGAAGCCAGGGGCTCAAGCCTGTTAATGTTCCTGGGAGCTTGCTGGGGGGTTATGGGAGGTTTCTGCTTACCGGGCCACCAGGAAACCCGGGTCCCCCTCATTCCACACCACCGGGATAATCTAAGCAGCTTCACCTATGGATGAGCCTCTGCTTGCCCAACTGGGTGTTCTTGGTATCCTACCGTCCTGCTCCTTAAAACAAGGTTTATGCTGGCACTCTGCAAATGAACCATGTGGAAAATGGTTCCCTGCAGATGCTGGTCACATGGCCTCTCTCTCTCTCTCTCATTTTCTCTCACTCTCTCTCTCACACTCTCTCGCCTGTCCCCTGTTAGCACACAGCCCACACCCAAACTGCCCTGTAGTCTGACTACCTTGATTGCCAGACACGAGCAGGGATGATGTCTTGGTCTCTGGAGAAGCTTGGGGCCTGCGCTGCCTGGCGGTACACAGGACAGTCGCAAGCCCGGGCCACACTTTAGTGCCATCTGCAGAGGGCCGGAAAGAACCTTTCAGGGGCATCTTGGTGCTCATGCACTCACTGAATTTGCAGTTGCCAAGCTGGTGAGCTGTTATTTGGTACTCTGCAAAGTGTCCTTAGCACCCAGGCTCTTCCCACCCGACCTCCAGACATCTAGGCTCATCCCAGCTTCATTACACAGCAAAACATTCTCACAATGTTAACAACAGTCAAACCACTGCTTTATGTTGAGAAAAGAAAATTTTAATGGGATCTATCTATATTGTCCTGGCTGTCCTCAAACTCCAGGGCTCAAGTGTGCCTCAGCCTCCTCGAATGGCCGTGACGGCAGATGCACACTGTGCATAGCCCGGACAAGTTTTTAGGTAAGGATAAATTCTGCAGTAAAAAACAAACAACTGCTGTTACCCAGGAAACATCCATTACAGGCTGCCACCAGGCTCCACATATTCAGGTCCTCTCTAACCCTCCCAGCCAGGCGCCACATTCCCATCTCCCATCCTGTCATCCCCAATGCAGCTGCAGAACCACAGGGCTAGTCTGTGGATTAGAGGCCATTCTCGCCTCCCCGGGCACTGTTCAATCCATCACCTGAATTCAGGATCCTGGGAGGACTCTGGGACAATGTTGAGCAAGGTAGAGAGAGCTATTGGTCAGGGGGCCTAACAGCGGTACTGTGGCAGAAGTTTGGGATCCAGAAAAAAAAGGCTCTGAACTATGGGGTGGAACAAAGACAATCATAATCACACACGGCACCCTGTTGGGCAGTTTTTACCAGCTAGCACCTGCCTTTAATTCCTATACCGGAGCACACGGTGAGATTTCCAGGGCCTGGTGCATTCCTGTTGACAAACGATCTGCAAGCCAGAGGCAGGAAGCAACACTGTTTGCAATGTCAGCCTTGCCAAGCCCTGTCTGTTACAGACTCAGAGGCCTCGCCCCATCCTCCCCTCTGATTACTGTGTCTTTGCAGCACCTGCACCAGGTGAGGGAGGTCTGTTGCTAAATCATCCCTCTGTATACAAACTAAGAGCTGCATTGCTCAGAAACAGCAAGGAGCAAAAGCCAAAGCAGGGCTCAGGTTAGCCTGTGAAGCAGTATCTGCATGGTGTGCCTTGTGAAAGGCAGTCACGTCACCGAGGGCGGCTTTGCGGGGCGGTACCCATCTTTCCCCTTCATCAGACATGAAGAAGGCAGGAAAGGGAGACCACTTCCATCTCATGAGATAGAGTGTTCCTTGTAAGCCTTCCCCAGTCTGCAGGATGGAAACCTGAGTTCTCTGTTACAGACAACGCCCAGGCAAGAGGACTGAAGCCAGAGGAAGACCCCGCACAGCCAGGAAGTCCTTGCTCTAACAATTGCTGCCCTTGTCTTCCACATAAAATACCTTGCTCAGGCCCTGAGACCCAAGACAAGAGGACATTTTCTCTTTCTAGAATGATATGCCAAGGAACCCCCTCCTGCCCTCCTCCCCTTCCCCACCTCTCCCCTCCCTCTGTTTTAGACATGGCATTGCTGTGTTACTAAGGCTGGGCAGGAACTGCTAAACTCAAACCATCCTCCTGCTTCAGCCTCCAAGTATCTGGGACTACAAACATGTGTCACCAAGCCCAGCTAGGGAAAACATCCTAAGGCTTCCTAGGAATGGTCACACACGCCTCCCCCCCCTTAAAGAGAGCCACTACACCTTCAAAAGCCAGAGTCTGTCAGGTACAAATCAGCATGACAGATAACAATGGCTGGACACAGAGAGGCTCCCTTTCTCTCCACATCTAAGACTTCTGTAGATAACGCAGAGCTCGAGGCCCACCCGGCTGCTCTGCCTTGTTCCAGACTCATGATCTGTGGGGTGTACAGCTCTGCAGAGCTGTGAACCCAGAGGGATGTAGAGATGGGGGACACATGGGCTGTTAAGTTGAGAGACTGGATTCCCGCCAGGCTCTGCTTCCCGCAGGTGGGGGTCGGTAAGCATCAGCCCCATCTCAATGCTTTCCCTTCGCCGTTGTAACAGTGAGACGACACAGGAAAACCTTGTTCAGAGGAAGTTAATTTTCTACCTGACATTAAGAGACTCTGACACTCAGCTCATCGGTTTCAACAACATTCAGTCCTGTAGAATGTGATGTTAGCACATCCATTTTCACTGAGGAGGAAACAGACTGGGTCACAGAGCTAGCAATCTGCATCCCTGGAGTCCAGCCCAGGCCCTTTTGGCCACGTCAATACAGGTGTATCTCGGCAGAGTAGAACAACCATTAATAAGCCAACCAGAGACCTGAGCATAAGCCATCTGGTAAATTCTCTCACTTTAGCATCTCGGATTTCTTCTCTCCACCTCTTTTTTGCCTGGGAAGGTTGGCAGGGTGCCACAGAACCCCAGTTCAAAGGGCCCTTGGGTGAAGGCTACCCTTCCTAATTGCACATCAGAGGAGCCCGTAAAGAGCAGCAGTTACTAACGTAGAAGAGCAGGCTGATGGTCGCAACTGTAACTTAAAGTCACAGGGTGCACAGCTCGGGGAGGGGAAGGCTGGACTGGAAATGAAGGGCAGACAGGGACAGGGACTTCAACCATTGTAGGAGCAGGGTCCCAGGTGCCCAGACAGCACAATGCACACGTTCCGGATCCTTCTGCGTGTCCCTCTGGTGGCCTTGTGTGGATGACACAATGGGCATTCCGAAACAGTTTTACTGGGGGGGGGGTGTTTTTAATTGGCGGTTCTATCACGAGCCTGTCGCAGAATTGCTTTCAAACACACCCTCTTCATCAGAGCAGCCGTGACTTCCTACAACACACACTCAAGGTGGAGCCTGGTGGTGTCACCATAGGAGGCCCATGGGTCCTCACCTGGGCCCTTAGCCGCCCCTCCTGCAGCTCCTTGCCGGCTGCATGCAATTCTACACCAGTACGTGTGGTCAGAGGTGCTACAGTGTGCATGCTCACTGAAGGGGGGGCAGCTACACAGCTACAGGGAAGTGGCTGGGCAAGACGTTTCATTCTGTAAGCAAGTCCGAAAACCCACTGGTCCAACGCGTAGGAGTTTGGAGGAGTCAGGCCTCGGTACGCTGCCATCGCTCTGTCTGGGCTGAGCTGACTCTTGCTCCTGTCTCCCCAGGAAAGGCCCCACACGATACCTCCTGATTGCAGTTTGTCTCTAACTTACTGTGGTGCAGTGCATGCTTTCAGCCCACGCCCTGCAGCACTTTGGGCTATGCTCACAGGAGACAGGAAATGTCACTTGTCCAAAGGAAATTATTGAGCACCTGCCCTGTGCCCAGGACTTCCAGGCGTTAACGACAATGAAAATGTGTTGTAACTGTAGGGGACACATGTGGTAAGGGTATGGCTAACAAACGCATTTTCTTTCTTTTTCTTCTCTCTCTCTCTCTCTTTTTAACCAGGCATCCAACCCAGTGTCCTCACTGCCCATTAACGATGATCTCATGA